ACTGGCGACACCGGCACCGGTGTGGCATGGGATATGGGGTATGGGGTATGGGATATGGGGTATGGGATATGGGGTATGGGGTATGGGGTATGGGATATGGGATATGGGATATGGGGTATGGGATATGGGATATGGGGTATGGGATATGGGGTATGGGGTATGGGATATGGGGTATGGGATATGGGGTATGGGGTATGGGGTATGGGATATGGGGTATGGGGTATGGGATATGGGGTATGGGGTATGGGATATGGGATATGGGGTATGGGGTATGGGTATGGGATATGGGGTATGGGGTATGGGGTATGGGATATGGGGTATGGGGTATGGGGTATGGGATATGGGATATGGGGTATGGGATATGGGATATGGGGTATGGGATATGGGGCATGGTATGGGATATGGGGTATGGGGTATGGGATATGGGTATGGGGTATGGGATATGGGGTATGGGATATGGGGTATGGGATATGGGATATGGGGTATGGGGTATGGGATATGGGGTATGGGGTATGGGATATGGGATATGGGGTATGGGGTATGGGATATGGGATATGGGGTATGGGGTATGGGGTATGGGGTATGGGATATAGATAGGGATATGGGATATGGGATATAGGGTATAGGATATAGGGTATGGGATATGGGGTATGGGATATGGGGTATGGGATATGGGGTATGGGGTATGGGATATGGGATATGGGGTATGGGGTATGGGATATGGGATATGGGGTATGGGGTATGGGGTATGGGATATGGGGTATGGGGTATGGGATATGGGATATGGGGTATGGGGTATGGGATATGGGATATGGGAACAGGCACGGGGCGTGGGGTGCAGGCACCAGCGTGGGCACTGGGATGAGCACAGGGTATGGGCATGGGCACTGGCATGGCATGGGACATGGGAATGGGCACTGGCATGGCATAGGACATGGGAATGGGAACTGGCATGGACATGGGCACTAGCATGGGATGGGCATGGCAGTGGCATGGGGTGTGGGAACAGGCATGGGCACAGCAAGGCATGGGCATGGCAGACAGCCCATTTGCCCAGGAAAGAGGCACCAGCATGGGCACCAGGATGAGCACAGGGTATGGGCACGGGCCCCAGCATGGCACAGAACATGGGAACAGGCACTGGCATGGGCACGTGGAATGTTTGTGGATACAAGGCATGGGCACAGGACACACAGGCATGGGACACAGGGCATAGGGATGGGCATGGGGCATAGGATGGGCATGGGGCATGGGCAGTGCCTCCTCAGCCCCTCCAGCTGCTGTGGGGACCCAGGAGGGGCTTGGGGCTCTGCCAGCTTCCCAGGTCTCCCAAGGAGCCTACACTGATGGGCACTGGACACTGGGAATGATGGTCTCAGCCCCTTCAGCTCTGGTGGCTACTCCCAGCGTGGCTCAGGCCAGGATGTGGCCCTGGCTCTGGTCCTTGCTGTGGGATACTGGGAAGTGTGGTTTTCTGAGCTGTGGGTTCTTCCCTGCTTCCAAACCCTGGGCAGGAATGGGGCACACATCGTGCAAGGGCTGGGGCTGGGTCACTGCAGGCACCGCTCTGACATTTGCAGCAGGGAGAGGAAAAACCCCACATGAGAGCAATGAGGAACAGCTGGAAACGGTGGGAAAACCCCAAGCACCCGGAGCAAGTGTCTGCTCAGTCACCACCCCTCAGTGCCTCCAGTGAAAACCAGGCACTGGAAGATGATTAACCCTGAGCAGCTTTGCCCCAGGCAGCTCGTGGGGACAAATGCAGTGGGTGACACTGTGCCCTCTCTGTCCCTGCAGCCACCTTCCCTTGGGATACGTTCCTGGTCTGAGTCATTTAAGAGCCAGCAGTTTGCCTGCTCTCAGGGTGAGATGAAAGTGGCCTCCCCATTCCACATCCCCTGACAATGGGAGCATTCCCTGGATACTGTCCCACCCTCCCATGGCTGCCCCATAGGTGCCCTAATAATCCAAAATGCTCCTGGAGGGTGGGCAGCAGGTCAGGAGGAGCTGTTGGTGTTTCACCCCATCTCCAGGACTCAGGAGTTTGTGGGACACCCCCATTTCTCCTAGTTAAACATATTTGCAACAGCTCAACAACTTTTAACTCAATTTTGGGGTTAAAAAGCTCAGATCCAAGGCCTTCCAGCCCAGACTCCAGAGGACTAGCAAGGAGGGATAAGAATGTGGCCTCAGGACTGCTCAGGAAAGCATCTCCTACATCAACTCCCCCCTCAGTGCCACAGACATCATTAAATTTGTCTTTCAGGAAAACCAGTTTCAGCCAGATCCATCTGATTCCTTCACCCCAAGGCCAGTCCCAGTCCCTCATCTCCCTCCATTCCTTAGTGAGGTCCCACCTGCCAGACCTGGCCATCCCAATTTCCATGACTTGGACCAGAAACAGCACAGGATGGAGCAAGGGGAGCAGCCACCACCTCTCCCCATCCACCCTGATGTTCCTTCCCATCCCTGGGGGGTGAGGGAAGGCTGTTCCCTTCCCTGTACCTGGTGTTCCACGTGGTTCACGCTGGGGGATCCAGGCTGTGGATCCCAGAGCCCTTTGCTGAGCACGGAAAGGCTCCTGGGGGTCTCCAAGGATCTAAGGCCTGTGGAAAACAACTTGCTTGGAGGACCCACCACCCCGAGGCATTTTACACTCCAGCCTCCAGTTGGGAAGTAGCTTCCAGGCCCCATCCAGCCCCAAGGCCAGGAGGCTCCTGGATATCGGGATGTGGGCTGCCCGTGGATGATGTGCCGAGCCGTGCTGTCAGGAAGGCAATCTGAAGCATCATTCCCACCAGCAGCCCTCTCTCTACCCTGCCCCTGGAAGGATGTTCCCATCCCTGCCCTCCCAGCACTCCCTTCCAAAGCTTCCATCCCCAGCCTGGCACCCTGGCACTGCCCACGCAGCCTGCGGAGCGGGGTAGCTCGCTTCCTGATTTCTCCAGTGAAATGAGTGTCACTCTTTCCTTATTTATATTCTCTGCCAAGGTATGATGGATGCAGGAGAACCACACGGCTGCCAGGGAGCTGGACACCTTGGGGACCATCAGCAGCCGGGTCTGGCTTTCCTGCAGCTCCAAACCCTCTGTGGTTTTGCCACAGACAAGCGATGCTCGGCCTCCCCGGGAAGATTGACAGGGAGCTGGAGGAGCAATATAAATACCTCCCTCTTAAATAGTCTGCTGGTATTTATAGCCTGTGCTTGGCACAGAGTCCAGCAGCTCTGACAAACTCAGCTCTGGCTTATTTTTAAGGAAGCGGCGGAGAAAGCAGGTTTTAAGAGCTCAGGATTGGGATGCACGGCTGCCTGACCCAGGGCTGGCAGAGCCCACGCTGATGGGATGGAGCTTTTGTCACCCTGCTGACCCTCTGGGCACTCCTTTTGCTGTCCTGTGTCCTCAGGCACCCCGTGTCCTGCCTCTGAGCAATGAGGTGAACACCCACAGCCACACACATATATATGGATATACATGCACATACCTGCAGGCACAGCCTGGCTCTGGATCACTACCATTTGCTCTGGCTCTGTACTGCCACCATCCTTTTTTTTCATCTCCTTTCCCGTTTTCCCCCCTTCCTTTCCCATTTTTTCCCCCCTCACCCCATCACACGCTTGCCCAGGTCTGGAAGGGGGAGCACAGGAGCACCCAAATCCCCTGGGCACTGCCCCGGGAGGCAGCTCAGGGCCAGCCAGGGTGCCTGGTGGCCCTGGCATGGACCCACACCCAGCCTGGAGGGGAAGCTCAGTGGGTGCCGTGCTGGGCACAGGGTGAACACATCCCCTTTGCCCCCAGATTTACAGCCCCAGCCGTGCCCGTCGTGGGTGGGAGGGCACAGGGCGACTGAGCACCTGTTTGTGGGAAGATATTTTAGGGGCAAATAAGCCTGAGTCGCCCTAGAGACTTTTCCCCCCTGCCCCGGCTGCAGCCCTGGGGGTGAGGAGGGGCAGTGCTTTGCTTTGGCTCTGCCAAAATAACCCGGGGGGGCAGAGCTGAGTCCTGGGGGGTGCGGGGCCGAGGGAACCCCGGGTGAGGGGCGACTGCTGGTTGGAGGAAGGGTGATGTTGGGTCCGAGGGTGATGCTCGTGCGGGGAGTGGGGGATGCCGTGTGCGGGGCGATTGCGGGTGCAGAAGGATTCCGAGTGTGCGTCTGTGGGTACCGCCGTGTGCGGGGGGGATGCGGGCTGTGTGTCGGTGTGCGATGCTGCGTGCGGGGCCATGTCGGGTGTGTGTCTGTGCGTGATTCCGTGCACGGTGGGGTGTCGGAGGTGTGTCTGTGTGTGATTCCGTCTGCGAGGGCGATGCCGTGTGTGTGTGTGTCTGTGTGTGATTCCGTGTGACGCCGGGGGTGTGTCCGAGGGTGATGCCTAGGCGGGGGCGATGTCATGTAAGGGGGCGATGCCGGGGGTGTCTCTGTGGTGATTCCCTGTGCGGGGCGATGCCGGGGGTGTGTCTGTGGTGATTCCTTGTGCGGGGCGATGCCGGGGGTGTGTCTGTGGTGATTCCCTGTGCGGGACGATGCCGGGGGTGTGTCTGGGGTGATTCCGTGTGCGGGACGATGCCGGGGGGTGTGTGTGGTGATTCCCTGTGCGGGGCGATGCCGGGGGTGTGTGTGTGGTGATTCCCTGTGCGGGGCGATGCCGGGGGTGTGTGTGGTGATTCCCTGTGCGGGGCGATGCCGGGGGGGTGTGTGTGGTGATTCCGTGTGCGGGGCGATGCCGGGGGTGTGTGTGTGGTGATTCCCTGTGCGGGGCGATGCCGGGGGGGTGCGTGTGGTCGATCCCCATTGCAGTACCAGATCCCGGTCACAGAGGGCGCTCCGCTGCGGCGCGCGGGGGAGGCGTGGCATCACATGGGGCGTGGCCTGGGCGTGGCCGGTGACGTCACGAAAAGCCCCGCCCCGGTCAGCTGAGCCCTCCGCACCGCCCCCCGCAACCCTCCCAACCGCGATCCGCCCCCTCCTCGATCCCCCGGTCCTCCTCCCTCTTCCCTCCTCCCTCCGCATCCCTGCGCCGCCACCCGCAGCCTCGCCCGGCCGTGTGTGCCTGTGGGTGACCCCCTCCCCTCCCCAAAACCCACCCTCCCCAGGGCGCTGCGCCCCCCGCCCCGGCACGGAGACATGGCCCCCATCGGACTCAAGGCTGTGGTGGGAGAGAGTAAGATCCGCGCCCCCGCGGGGTGGGGAGGGGGCAGCGCGGTTAAACTGCCCGGGGGTGGCGGGAGGAGCGGGGGTCGGACTTGCCCTTGCCGGGGGTGGGGGATGCTGCGGATGCGCAATACGGACCCTCGGGGCGGATGGGGAGGACGAGGACGTGGGACACCCCCATGGGGGACACGCCGATGGGCTGGTGTGTGTGTGGGGGGGTGTCGTGGGTGCTGTCACCTTCCGGGGTTTATTTGTGTGATTTTTGCGCCTCTTGGGGGTTTTTCTGCAGTGCTGGGGGGTTGGGGGGGGGAGGAGAGGGAAGGGAGAGGCGCCGGAGCCCCCTCGTTGTGCCATCCCCTATCCCCCGTGCCCCCAAACAACCGCCCCATGGGGAGGGGGTGCTGAGCCCCGGGAGGAGGGCACAGGGGCGTGCAGACCCCCTAAATCACCCCCACCCCCAGCGCAGTGCCAGGCCGGGCCCTCCCGCTTTGTTCTGCAGCAAATCCCGCTGAAATGGCGATTTTTTTAAAAAAAAATGTTAGCATTATTTCCATGATTATTATTATTATTTGCCCGGACGTGACTTTGCTCTCCCCTCCCATCCGGGGGCCGCCGTGACACCCCTTCTTCCTCTTCTTATCCCCCTAAGCCCAAACCCACCCCCACGCCTCGAGCATCCCGCGGGGGTCCATTCCCGGCCGGGAATATTCCCGGGAGCCGCGGGCGGGGGCACGGCACGATCGTTCCCCGGCTGCGCTTCCTCCTTCCCGGCTGTTGCAAGGCGATATTTTCCCGGGGGGAAGCGCGGCGGGAGGAGAGAGAGGCGGGGGTGTTTTCTCCGAAACACCCGAGGCCGGAGGAGGAAAAAGGGGCGACCCTTTCCCCCGGGGCAAAATTAGGGCGAAAAAAACCCCGCGTTGCAAAAAAAAAAAAAAAAAAAAAAAAAGGAAAAGCCGAAAGGGCAGGAACCGGTGGGAACTTCCCCCTGCAGCCATGAGCCTTCCTCCTCCTCCTCCTCCTCCTCCCCGCCTCTCGCAGGGTTTATTTCCGTGGCAGCGTGGCCAGACGCGGCCGGGTGGTTTTTATTATTATTATTATTTTATTACTTTTGGGTGGGTTTTTTTTTTTTTCGGCGTGCCATCCGTGCCCGTGGGTGATTTCCCCCGCCCTCCCGCGCCCGCTGCAGATGGCGCGGCCGGGGCTGGTGGTGTGATCGGGTGGGTGGTGTGTTTTTTGGGGGAGGGAGGAGGGGGAAACGGCGGGGAGATTCCCGTGGATTGATGGCCCTGCCGCGCTCCCCACCGTCACCTTCCCGCGGGGATGGGGGGCTGCGACATCCCCCCGCCCACCCTCGCGGGTGCTGCAATGGGGTTAAAAGAGCCCAAAATGGAAGGGGAAAGGCAGGGAAGTGTCCCGGTGTGTCTGTGCTGCAGGATGGGCTTTGGGGAGGGGGGGAGGTTGGAGCGGACGCTTTGCTGAGATTTATTTTTTGGGGGTGGGCGAGGGGGTGGTCCCCTCGCATCTGAAGTGGGGAGAGGGGCTGCCCCCAGCCCGGTTGGATGCGGCGAGGGGGGATTATGGACCCGCCGCCCACGCACCCCTTGGCAGGGCCACCTCCAGTGCCCTCAGCAGAGAGGGGACAGAGCCCAGCGCCACTGCGTGTCCCTGATTTTCATTCATTGTCTCTGCGCTGGAACAGGCTTGGGGGGGGGAGCACAGACACACACACAGACACGCAGAGCTTCGAGGCAGCATCACGGAAATCGGGCTCAATCCTTCCCTCCAGGGTTTGGTGACAAACTGCTCCGTTCTTCCCCTGAAAAAAAAAAAAACAACTAAGCAAAAAAACCATCATTCCAGACTGAAAAAAAATGATAATTTGGAGCCGGGCATCGGTTGCCGTAGCGGGGCTGGCGGGGGAGCGTGGGTGGCTGGAAGGAGGGAGCGGGGCTTGTGCAGGGAAAATGCTGCAGAGGAGCGAGGGATGGGACCCTGGAGGGACACCCTGGGGGCCAGCCCTGCCCTCCCAGGGGGATCAGGGTGCTGCCATGGGCTTGGTGGGTCAGTGCCTGGCTGGGGGGGCTGTTTTCAGGGGGAGCTGCTCCCCCTGAGTCGGGGTGAGCCTGCTCTCCAGACCCCCCCCAGTCCCTGGGTTCCAGTGAGGCTGGCACAAGATCCCCTGGCTCCTGCAGCGCCAGCCTGCCCTCGGGCTGGGACTCCCTGGAGGTTTTCCTGCAGGAGATGTTTGCTCCTAAGGAGCAAGAGGTCCAAGCCTGGGGCTGACCCTGAGGCAGGACATCTCTGCTGGGTTCCCTCCTCGGGAGGAAGGGATGGATGGGAAGGTTGGGAAGGATGCTGCCGCGTTGCCATGGCTCGCTCCGCCAGCCCCCCCTCCGGAGCTGCATTCTGCCCTGGCTTCCCTCCAGACCCGGATTATTCCTCTGGCCAGCTGGTGCCATGACAAGACGGGTTTTGGAGGCCTCTGAAGAGGTGGCAGGCGGTGGGCAGGGGGGTGAGGTGGGCGAGTGTTGCAGGGGAAGGGCAGAGCCGGGTTGTGACCCCGCCGGAGCCGTGGGGTGTGTGCTGGGGGGGCTGTCCCTGCACCTTCCTGCGGTGTCCAGCAGTGGTGGCTGCATCCCTCCAGGAGTGGCTGGGCTTGGAGCTGAGTGCCACTTGCCCCTAGAGGTGATGCCTGAGGACCAGGTTCCTTCTGTGTGCCTTGTATTCCCTCTGTGCCACCTCCCACTGGACAACCAGCCACTGTGTTCTGGTGCTGGCTGGAAAGATCTCCCCCAAGCGTGGGTGAGGACACCCATCTCCAAATCTTCATCTGACCCCCTGCCATGTGGATATCCCTCCCATCCTCTTGTGCCCCAGGGCTCCTTGGATCTTCTCAGGGTATTGTGCCCTGAGCTTCCCCTGCCCAGCCTGGTCCTGGCTCTCCTGCAGCAGCCTGCAGTGGAGAGCAGGAGGAGGAGGAGGAGGAGGAAGCTGGTTTTACTTCCCTGACCCGTCATCAGTCAGCAGAGATGGGCTGTGCTGCAGGGGTGACCCCTGGGCAGTGCCTGCCCCCACGGGGGGCTGCTGCAGGACACGTGGCTGGAGCGTGTGGAGGTGCTGGATCTGAAAACCCTGCACCCCTTCAGCGTCCCCAGAGGCTTCTCCTGTGCCTGTTGCTGTCAGGGACAGCTGGGAGAAGCAGAGGAGCCCTGGGATAAGGAAGTGCCCTGCTGCCTTGCAGAGACAGCAAGAGAACACCTTTCCCCTGGGGACACCAGCTGATCCTCCCACAGAGCATCCTCACCTGTGCAGCCTCCCACAGGGCTGACCCGTGCCAGGAGCCTCCTGCCAGGGCACACCGAGGAGCCCCACGGCAAAATCCCGCCTGGACGAGGTCCCCAGCACCCACGGGCAGCACCCACTGCCTGCCCTGTCACTCTTGTCCCCCTCTGTGCCCCTCCAGGGCCCACCCCTGCCTGGCCCGTGCTGGGACACGATGACTCAGGGTCCCAGGCTCGTGCTGTGCTGCACCTGCAGGGACAGGGAGGAGGCACAGGCAGGGCTGGGGCACTGCCAGCCCCGGGGCACAACCCTTGGGACCCGCTGCAGGGTGGCTGCTACGTGACTCACCCCGGCTGCTTGGGCACCTCACAGCTCCCAGCACCCTGTGGTGCATCCCAGGCCTGGATGCTGCTCCTGGAGGGTGCTCTGAGCCCAGCTCAGTGCCCAGGATACAGTTTGTGTGCTGCCCCAGGTCTGGCAAGGTCTCTGCCAAGTAGAGGAAGAGGAGGCAGCGAAGGGCTCAGGGCTCCTGGGCCACTGCAGGGATGCAGATGGATCCTCCTGCCTGCATGGGCATGATCCCAGCCTGATGGAGAGGTGGGTGGGTGAGGAGGAGAGGTCTCTGTGCCCTGCCCTCACCATGGATGGGAGCAGACCCTGAAGCTTCCTGGGCAGCCCACCCTCCCAATCCCCAGCTCCTGGGAGCCCACCAACCTGCCAGGAACGGTACAGGAAGCTTGGCAAAGCCTCTGCTGGGGCCTGTAGCTCTGTCACCAGGATCTGTCTCACCTCCAGTGCCAGCCTGTAAGTTGGAAAAGCTTGAAAAAATAGGTGCAAAATTCAGGATTCACCTTCACAGAGCAATTTCAGACTCCAAACCACGGTCTGCACCAGGGGCTGAGAAACTCTGGCCCATATGTGACCGTGGAAGGTGACCAAGAGTGGCAGCCCTCAGTTTGGCAGCTCTGCATCCACCCACCAGTGCCTGCAAGGCTGAGAAAGCCACTGCCACAGAGGACTTATTTCCCTCTCGGAAAGTAAATCTTGGGTCTAAATCCCCTGCACCTCTCAGGGAGAATGGCCCAGGAGAGATTCCCTCCCTCCTGCCACAAAACCAACAACATTTAAAAGGAGAATCATCATCACGTGGCTTTTGGTTGCACGCTGAGGAGCAGATGCCGCGTCCACCAACTCACAGCGCGGGGAAGGAACTTGGCTCTGGAGAGTCCAAAAATAGATCAGGCTGAAGGTGCGGTGATTTGTGGGCTCCCACATCACCCTGTGCACACACAGACACGTGGATGTCACAGACACGTGTGCTAGGGGGTCTTTTCTGGAGCCCATCAGAGGGTTTGACCTTGGGCCACTAAAGGAACAGTGAAGACCACCCAGAGCTGGAGCAGCTCAGCCGCCCTTCAGCCCATCCCTGGTGTCTGTGGGCACAGCCCAGCCTGGATTCCCACCAGGCCCAGCCTGAAGAGCCCCAGTGTATTGGGTTTTTTCTCTGCTGTGGCTCAAGACAGAGCAGAACTGGCTCAGAAAGTCACAGCCACACTTGTAGGAGAGGGTGACCCACCCCTGGGAGAAGGTGACCTCCCCTGCAGGTCACTGTGACACCCCATGTGTGCTCTCCTGCTGCAGGAGAGCTCTGGGCTCCTCTTGGCACCTACAGCCACCAACAGCCGGGTACAGCATCTGCTGGGGATGGAAACACGTGGAGGGAGAGGACAAGCACGAGGGAAGGGTGATGCCTTCAGCAGGGACCTGAAGGTCTGTGGGTCACTGGTTCTACCTGAACAGAAGAACCCTGCTAAACTCCCAGATCCTTGTGCAGACCCAAGGAAACTGCCAGGAGTGATCACAGAATATCCTGAGCTGGAAGGGACCCACAAGGACCATCCAAGTCCAGCTCCTGGCCCTGCACAGGACACCCCAACAATCCCACCACGTGCCTGATGCTGCAGTGAAAACCCTTGTGATTTTTACCCTCTTTCTCCAGGGCGCTCTCAGTGATTCATGGGTGTCATCAGGCATTTCATTTCTCTTTTTTTTTGTTTTTACTGCTGGGTGTGCTACTCAGCTTCTAGAGCTCAAGACCTCCAGGTCTCTGCCCTCCTCCTCTCCAGGCTGTGCAGGTTTCCCAAGGCTGTGGCCAGCAGGTGTATAAATACAGAGATCCTCCAGGAGAGCAGTGCAAATAGGGAAAGGAGTATTTAATCACAGGTTACTACGATTAGCGTGACTAATCCGTGACTCTGGAGCCCCAGCAGCACCACACAGGTCCCCAGAGCAGCACAAACACTGCTCAGCGTGGCTTCAGCACGTGGCACTCACACCAGCAGCTGGGAGGGGAGAGTGTGGTGCTGCTCTGGACAGGGAAGTACCAAAGTTCACCTCGTCCAGGGCTGGGGAGAGGATGAAGCTCAGCCTGGGCAGTTCTGGCAGCTGGAAGAGTGGGTTCCCACGTGAGGAATGTGTCCCACAGGAAGGCTGAGGTCTCCAGGTGGGCTCTCCAGTGGGATAAGTGGGTGTTCATGGACTGCTGGAAGGGAGATAAGTTTGAGACTTGCTTGGGTTGTGGGCAGAACAATCTCCAGACTCAGACTATCCCTGGTTGGCTCTTAGCTGTGCTGAAGGACATCAGCTGGGCTTGGCCTCCTGTCAGTGAGGTCATTCTCCATGTGCTGGATGGGACCGTTCCTGCCATCCTGTGTGGTCCACGATGCCTGTTTTGTTTGGGACAGCTTGGGGATGGTGCTTGGAGAGCCCTGGCCGAGGATGTTGGGAGGTAGGGACGTGCTCCGCTACATCCAGACGTGGTTGTATCAGTGTAGCATTCACACTGTCCTGAGCAATGAGTTAATGAACCAGCACAAAAGCAGTTGCCAGGCCAACCCAAAGCCAAATGTGTTCGTCTGGGAGATGCAGCCTGACAGCTTTTTGGGAGAAGTGGGTCTTGAGCAAACCTCACGGTGGATTTCCGTGATCCGGCTCTCCGGAGCTGCTCGGGGATTTGGGATCCCAAAACGTGAGGGGAGGGAAAGCCCCGTGGCTGGGACCACTCATCTCCTGTAGGACCTTGTGCAGTCCATGCCCACAGAGCAGCTCCCTTCAGGAGCTGTGGCACATCAGGCCGTGGTGGGGTCCCAGGGTGTGGCAACAGAGGAGTTTCTGAGCAGCAGGAGTTGGGTCTCACTGCTCCAGGAGGGAAGGGCTTGGCCAGCACTGCTGGTGTGGGACAGGCTGGGGCCAGCACTGAAGCTGGAATGTCCCTGGCCTGGTGTCCCAGGGTGGGGTGGTGCCCAGGAGAAGGCTTTACTGCTTCCCCCAGTGGAGGTCAGAGCTGCTCATCAGCTTCCAGGCTCATTCTGAAGCAGGATAATGGCCTTGGGGCATCCCAAAATGGGTCCATCTCAACACAGGCCCCAGCTTTGTTGGTGTGGGCACCAGCCATGGAGGGGGTGTTCCCTCTTCCCCCAGGTCCAGTTGCTGTTTCCATGAGCAAGCAGGACAAGGCAGGGCTGGGGAAAGGCTCAGTATAAATAACCTGGGCTAAGCCTCTCGGAGGGAGGGATGGGCTCACATCCTACTAGGCCACCGTGTCACCAACTTCTGGCCCTGCTTGGGAACGATGCAGTGGGTCATTTCCACCCCACCTCACTGCAGGGGGTGGGCTGGGGGGGTGGTGGGTCCCATGAAGACGTGGTGGGTCTCTAAAACCTCACCTGCCTGGTTAGAGCAGAACTTTTAGGGCTATGTTGGTTCTCCATCCCACGGGGGGGAATTGTCCTGCCCTATCCATAGGCTCTGCTGTTGGAGGGGGAGTCCAGAGCTGTCTGTATGGTAGATTTCTTGGTAGAAATCGGAATTAAAATTCTTCCAGCCTGAAGGAATAGATGTGATGTGGTAGGTCCAGACGAGCCAAGTGCTGGAGGCACTGCATGAGTTGCTCACAGTATTTTTTTCTTCCTGAAACCTGGTTTTATTTCTAAGATGAAAAGCTTGACTGTGACCATCACCAACTCATACTGGAGCCCAAAAACTCTTTGGGGACTGTTTGGGGACATGGGCAGCAACGTCTGACCCACTGATGAGGAGTGTGAGGACACCACTTGGTGGGAAGTGGCCTGGAGTGACTTGGGGACGTCAGGGAATGGAGGAGCTGCCCTGGGAATGCAGAGCACTGTTCCCTAAGCTGGAGGTTTGGTGGCTGCTGCAAGGACACCCAGGAAGGGAAGCTCTTGGCCGTGTGTCCTCCAGATGTGACACTCATCTCAAGTTTGTGCCCTTTGGCAGGACCCTGGAGCCTCTTTGGAGGATGCTCTGTGGATCTTCCTCTTTCCCAGCTCTGCCTGGGCTCTGAGCTGGCTCTGGCAGCCAAATCTGACCCAAGGTGGAGGCAGGAGAGGACATCAGTGTAGGGAACAGCTGTGCCTGGGGGCCCATCCTGACCAGGGCATGAAAACCACAAAGCTCAGAGCAGTCACCCTCTGAGGCACCCAGTTCCTGCTCTGGGAGGCCCATCTTGGTGCCAGGGTGGGACTGGGGGACAGGACAGCACTTTTTGCAGCCAGACAGATGCTCTCCCCCCCGAGCATCCTCCAGCCAGCTCAGCCCATCCACGTGCAGAAGGGACGCAGCATTCACTCACAAAGCCAGCCACTGGAGACAAAATGTCCCCTGCAGTGAGGACAAGCTCAGGAGTGGCTGAGGCAGCAATTTGGGAGCCCTTTTTGGGCTTCCCTGCCCTGGGCCCCCCATCCCTCCCTCACCACAGCAAGTGGAGCACCACAGGACCAAGCCATGGGAGCCTTTGCTCCACCAGCACCTTCCCCTGGGCCCCAGGACGCTCATTACCTCCTTCCTTCCTTCCTCCCTTCCTTCCTCCCAGCCCTGGATCGTGGCAGCATTCTCAGTGCAGGGGCAGGATCTCCTCCTGAAAAAGGATTTTCTTCCTGCCTGCTGTTTCTTCCTGCCCCTTTCCCAGCTGGCATCTCTGCCTGGCACACAGTGCACCGCCCTGGCCCCCCGTGCTTTGCTGGGGTTGGGGCTGTGGGGTGGGATGGAGCCTTGTGAACAGCACTGTTATTGCTGGAGCCTTGCTCTGGGGAAGGAGCCAAACGTGAGTAATGGAGGGGAGGGCAGGGATGCCAGCACATCCCTCCTTCCCAGCCTGTGCCAGCGAGGCACCAGGGAGCAGGACTGGGATGCACAGGCAGCCCTCACTGCCAGCTCCTGCCCGTGGCAAGGACAGTTCCTGGCTCACTTGTTTGCTGTGTGGGTGACTGAATCTAGGTGGGCTTTGCCCCACAGTGCTCAGCTCAGGTACCCAGTTACCCTCCATCCCCCCCTTTCCCAGCCTGGAGCTGCCCTGCACCCCCTTTGCCCCTGGAGAGTGACCAAGGGCAGGCAGGACCCCAAATTCGAGGCCCTTCTGGGGCTCCCCTGAGGCAGATGTTGCTGGGAAGGAGGTGGATGTGCAGTGGGAGGAATGGCTGCCTGCAGGTTTTCCAGCAGGACAGACAGGCAGTGACGCTCCCAGGCTCCTGTTCTATCCCTGCTGGCACCAGTGCTGGGCTTTACCCTGGGGGTGACTCCCACAGGAAGGGTCCCAAGGCTGGCAGGGTGACACCCTCGGCAGTGGGATGCTCACACCTGTGTTTTCTGATTTAGAAACATTTTTTAATGGGGTTTTAATTGGGCAGTTCCATCCCTGTCCCTGGGACTGGCGGGAGGGGTCAGAGCAAAACCCTCCAGGGATGGAATCCAGGGATAAATCTTTGCACAAGGGCATGGCACAGCCCCTTTTCCTCAGGCTCAGCTGGCACATCCCTGCTCTGTGAGGGGTAGTGGTTCCTACACCAGGGTCAAAGGGCACCTTCAGGGTTTGGGGGGCACCTCCAGATGTTCAGGCAGCACATCTGTCTGGCAGGAGGGCAAGTACCGACTCTGGCAAGGCTCAAAACCCCCTTCCTTCAACTCAACCCCAAAAGTGGCATCCCCAACTCTCTGCCAGGGCCACCTCCTCGTGCTGCACCCCCAGGGGTCCCTGGGGTGCTGGGGGTCCCTGCTGTCCCAGCTGGTTGCATAAGCCCAGCAGCCACGGGAGGTGAAATGGGATTGTGAGGGATTACAAGGAACAGGCTCAGGCTGCTTGATTCTTGTTTCTAAAAGGAGCTCTTAAGCTGCTGTTGTTTTCCTGGCACTTCAGATTACGGGCTGAGACGTGTGAGGTGGCCCCCAGGCTCCCCAGAGGGACCCCCAGACCCACCAGCCTGGGCTCTCTGCCTGTTAGTGCCAAGCATGAGAGAAAAACAGGGCTGAGGGGAGACTGACCCTCCCTGGGTACCCCAAAACCACCCCCATCACCTCCCCACGTCCCCAGTTAAGGCACTGGGGGAATGGGGCTCACTCCCCATGTCTCCAGTTAAGGTATTGGGGCACTGGGGCTCATGGGTGGGTGGGAGGGGGTTGTGGTGCCTCTGGTGTAGCCCCCACTGCTGTTGATGGACCCTGGGGTGCTCCAGGGTGGACACTGGGGTGCTCACCCTTCCCCATGCTCCCTTTTGTTCCAGAGATTATGCACGATGTGATCCGGAAAGTGAAGAAGAAGGGGGAATGGAAGGTGAGCACCAAACCTGGGAGGGGGGCAGGAGAGGAGGAGGAGGAGGAGGAGGAGGAGGAGGAGGATGGGAGGGAGGAAGCAGGTGCAGGCAGGGGGTTCCCCAGGGTGGGGAAGGGCAGCTCGTGCCGTGCCCCCCCTGCTCACAGCCCCTCTCCCCAGGTGCTGGTGGTGGACCAGCTCAGCATGCGGATGCTCTCCTCCTGCTGCAAGATGACAGACATCATGACAGAGGGCATAACCAGTGAGTACCAGCTCCCTGCAGCCCACAAACCTCCCTGTGGCAGGGGCAGAACCTCCCTCTGTACCAGAGGCATCTCCAGGCTGGCACAAGGCACTCGGCACAGCCCCCACCCAGCCCCATCCCACTTGGGATGGAGCCACAGCACCTCCCATCGCTCGTGGGCAGCTCTTGGTGCCAGGCTGGTGTTCCACAGGTCCCTCCTTGCCTGCTGGGGCTGTAGCAGCCAGAACACCCTGTCTCCTGGCAGGACCTCAACCCAAAGAGGAGACCAGGTGGTGTTTTATGGCAGCCCTGTAAATAAATAGGTCCCTGCAACGCTCAGAAAGGAGAAGGAAACCCCAGGCTGGGCACTGGGAGGTGTTGGGGGCAACGGGGTTTTGGACATGGAGGGGTTGGCAGGGCTGGCCCTGTGCTGCCATGGGATAGCCAACAACCCCAATATCCCCTGTGCTGCTTGGGGGGTATCCAGCAACCATGGGCCATCCAAGTGCCCCTGCCCACACTGATCCCTGCCACGATGCCTGTTTTTCCCCCCAGTCGTGGAAGACATCAACAAGCGCCGGGAGCCGCTGCCCAGCCTGGAGGCCGTTTATCTCATCACCCCCTCTGAGAAGGTGAGGAACACGAGGTGGGGTGCAGGGAATTTGGCAGGGATGAGGCAGTGGGATGTCCATGCTGGGATGGGCAGCTGTGCCCGTGGGAAGCATCCTGGCTCCAGCGAGGCCAGTGGGATGGAGGTGCAGAGCTCCCCACCTGTGCCAGGAGGGAAGATGCTGGGTGATGCTGCTGAAATGCCCAGGGTGCCACCCTGCCCAGCCCAGCTGATCCCCTCTCTTCCAGTCCATCCACTCCCTCATCAACGACTTCAAGGATCCCCCCACCTCCAAGTACAGAGCTGCCCACGTCTTCTTCACTGACTGTGAGTACCCAGGGCTCACAGGGGGAGAATCATTAATGGGGTGCAAGCAAGCAGGGATGGAGGGAGGGAGGATGGAGAGGGGGGAGAGGATGGAGGGGGAGGAGGATGGAGAGGAGGGAGGGAGGATGGAGGGGAGGGAGGGAGGATGGAGAGAAGGGAGGGAAGATGGAGGGGTGCTGAGCTCTACCCTCCTCCCCCCCTCGCAGCCTGTCCCGATGCTCTGTTCAACGAGCTGGTGAAGTCCCGCGCCGCCAAGGTCATCAAAACCCTGACGGAGATCAACATTGCCTTCCTCCCCTCTGAGTCCCAGGTGAGGCTGGGCTGGAACCGTCCCTGCTGGGTTGGTGCAGGGGATGGCACAGCCAGGGGCTGCTCTGGGTCCTTCTCCAGCCCGTTGGTGTTTGTGTAACAGCTCTGCATCCCAGGCTGGCTCCTCGGCCCCGCTCAGCCCTTCCTCCCTGTCTCCTTTGATTACTTCCCTCGCTGATCCGCCCCGGGGGATTTGGCTGGTGCCCTGCCTTGGCCCTGTGCCAGCAGCTGCCTGTTGGCCAGCTCTGCCTCCCCACCAGCCAAGGGCACCAGGGAGCTGGCCCTGTGCCACGTGCCCCTGCTGGGCACATGGGGGTCCAGGGGGACAGATGGTGTCAGCCCCGCTCGATGCCATCAACCCTTTCAATCCTCAGCGTTTCTGGGGAGTGGCATCTCTTGGCATCTCCCTGTGCAGCCAAATTGGCTTCTGGTCCTTGCTGGGGGCACGGCTGGGGAGCAGGGTGTCCCTGCCATCCCTGGGTCTCTGATTCCCTGCCTGGGAATGCAGGTGACTGCTATGGGTTGGATAGGGGGCCTCCTGCCTGGGGAAGGCAGCAGGGCCCAGAGCTGGCAGCTGAAAGCCCGAGGGATGCCCTGAGCAACACTGAGCTCTGGCTGCCCTGCCTCAGGCTCAGCTGGGACCTTTGTCTGGGCATGAATCTGGTTCCCAAACCCATCCAGGGCTGCTCTCCTCCCCTCACCCTCTCTGACCTCCCTCCCATGCCCTCCCCAGGTTTACTCCCTGGATTCAGCCGACTCCTTCCAGAGCTTTTACAGCCCCCACAAGGCGCAGATGAAGAACCCGATCCTGGAGCGGCTGGCGGAGCAGATCGCCACGCTCTGTGCCACGCTCAAGGAGTACCCAGCCGTGCGGTACCGGGGGTAAGGGCGGCGTGGGGGCACCCCTGGGACCTGCCCCGCTCCCCCAGCAGCGCCAGGGAGCTGGGGGTGTGCCCAGCACGGGGCAGGGCTGAGGCCGTGCTGTGCCCGGTGCTGCGCAGGGCGTGGGGGCAGAGTGGGTGGAGGGATGGACAGACGCCTGTGCTCGGGGTAAACAGGCTCAGAACTGATGCTCTGCAGAGCTGGGGGGAGCTGGGACTTAAGTGGTGCCACGGCAAAGTGGAGCTCAGCAAGCAGAGGTGGGAATGGGCAACCAAACCTGCTCAGGTCCCTCTGCCATCTCCTGTGCCCTGGGGAGCTGACCTCTGCCCCCTGCCTCCCCCAGGGATTACAAGGACAATGCCATGCTGGCACAGCTCATCCAGGACAAGCTGGATGCCTACAAGGCTGATGACCCCACCATGGGCGAGGTGAGTAGGAATGGTACCCCAGGGGGGAGGGTGTTTGGGTGATGCTTCACTCCTGAAGTCCTGCTCGAGCTCTGCCCCACGGCAGTCACAGACCCCAGAGCAGCCCCAGCTTCTCCCGAGGGCCTGTGGGGCTGGTGGAACCCCTGAGCTCGGTGTTAACAGCTCCCCTGGCTCCACAGGGTCCAGACAAGGCTCGCTCCCAGCTCCTCATCCTGGACCGTGGCTTTGATCCCGCTTCCCCGGTGCTGCACGAGCTGACCTTCCAGGCCATGAGCTACGACCTGCTGCCCATCGAGAACGATGTCTACAAGTGAGTGCAGCTCTGCCATCCCCACCACCCCCGTGGGCCCCCCCGGCCCAGCCCTCCAGCAGGGCTTGGAAGCTCAGCATCCCTCCATCCATCACAAGGCATCCATGGGGAGACACCGGCCCTGCCTGCAGTCTGGCACGTGGGATGGGCAGGACTGGGGCAAAAGGGGCTTTTCCAGCCTTCAGCCCTCGGCCCCTTCCCAATATTTAGTAGGTGAAGGGGTGCAAGAAGGTGAGAGTTGAAATGACTTCACCTTGCTGCTGGCAGAGCCAGGAAGGGCCCCAGTGTCCCCCCATGGCCCCCCATGTCCCCCATGTCCCTCAGCCCAGGCAGTGAGGGGGCTGTGTGCCCCCTCAGCCCCGTTCCCACCATGACACTCCCTCCCCTCTTCCCAGGTACGAGACAAGTGGCATTGGAGAGGCCCGGATTAAGGAGGTCCTGCTGGATGAGGATGATGACCTGTGGGTCACCCTGCGCCACAAACACATCGCTGAGGTGTCCCAGTGAGTGTCCCCACGGGCTCTTTGCCATCTGGGTGGCACATGGGCTTGGTATTGCCCCTCTGTGAGGGTCCCCTCCCTGCTCACAGCTCTGCCCTCCTGCTCTCCCCAGGGAGGTGACCCGGTCCCTGAAGGAGTTTTCTTCGAGCAAGAGGATGAACACGGGTGATAAGGTGACCTGGCTGCAACTGCCAAGCCAGGGATGGGCGTCCAGGGGGCTCAGCCATGGGCTGGCACGTGGTGGAGTCTCCTGGGAGCACCCAGTGGGCATCTCTGCAAAGGGACAAGGGTGCTCAGGTCCCTGATGGGGGGAGATGGCTGTGAGGTGCCAGCCCTACACACCCAGGGCTGGGGAAATGGGGTTCCTTGGGAGGGCACCACACCACAGGGGTTGGTTTGCCCCTGGCACAAGATCTCTGTCCCCCCCCACAGCAGCTCCTGTGTCCCCAGCCTGTTCCCTTGCAGAGCCCCTGAGTTGGTGGCAGTGAGGGGACCCTGGTGGAAATAGGATGTGAAAGTGGCCAGGAGCTGAAAGGACCATCTCAGCCCCAGCCAGGCACAGGGGGGCCCCAGAGGAGGGTCCCTGGGGGGATTTGTCCCCCTGACACTCCAGTTCACAGAGCTGCAGACCCCACCCTGCCCCTCAGCTGCAGCCAAGGAGATCTGGCAGTGACAGGCCAGGTGTCACCAAACCCCAGGAGGGGATCACACGGGCACAGAAGTCCTTGGTGGGGTCATCCCCTCTCTGCTCACGGCCCCCAAGTCCCTGAGGGAGAGTGACACATCCCCTTCCCTCGCAGACCACCATGAGAGACCTGTCCCAGATGCTGAAGAAGATGCCACAGTACCAAAAGGAGCTCAGCAAGGTATGAGGAGGGGGGACTGCGTTCAGTGACCGGGCCCACCCGGGGAGCAGGAGGTGGCAGCGCTCCCCGGAGTGTCCCTGGCCGTGGGTGGTGGCACAGGGACCTTTGGTTGCTGCCAGCACTGCAAGGATGGCCCCTCGTGTCTCCCCAGTACTCCACCCACCTGCACCTGGCTGAGGACTGCATGAAGCACTACCAGGGCACCGTGGACAAGCTCTGCAGAGTCGAGCAGGTGCCAAACCAGCTCCCCCAGCCCCACACCCGCCCTGGCAGCTCCATCCTCACAGGCTGGAGGGGTGATGAGCACGTGTGTTCTCTGCAGGACCTGGCCATGGGCACCGATGCCGAGGGTGAGAAGATCAAGGACCCCATGAGGGCCATCGTCCCCATCCTGCTGGATGGGAATGTCAGCACCTACGACAAGATCCGCATCATCCTGCTCTACATCTTCCTGAAGAACGGTGAGGGCACCTGGGCAGGGGTGGGTGCAGGCAGCTCCCAGGTTTGGCCAGGATAAGCCAGATGGAAAAGCCCAGCCCTGCCTCCCTGGCCAACACCCAGCCTGTTGGGTGTCCTGAGGCAGTATCCTCATGGAGGGGCTGTATCCCCGTGGAGGGGCTGTAACCCCATGGAAGGCATTCCTCGGGACACCATCTCCCCCTTTGCACTTCCAGGTATCACCGAGGAGAACCTGAACAAGCTGATCCAGCACGCCCAGATCCCAGCAGAGGACAGCGAGATCATCACCAACATGGCCCACCTCGGGGTGCCCATCATCACAGACGTGAGTGTGCCCCTCCCGCTGCCCTTCGGGAGGGAGGGAGGACCGTGGCTCTGCTCTGGGAGCCACAAATCCCCCCGGGATGCCCCTGGCACCCCTGTGGGTGGCCCCCCTGCCGCAGCCCCCGTGTCTCAGCGTGTCCCTGTGCTCCCTGTGCCCAGTCCACCCTGCGCCGCCGCAGCAAGCCCGAGCGGAAGGAGCGGATCAGCGAGCAGACCTACCAGCTCTCCCGATGGACCCCGGTGATCAAGGACATCATGGAGGTGAGCCAGCCAGGACAGGGGGCAGGGGGCAGAGCAGGGAACCCAGATCCAACATGCAGTAACAAACTGGTTGGCTGTGTGTGTGTGTGCCACCTGTGTGTGCCACCACGGGCACGGCTGGGTGGCCTCGTCACAGCATTGCCCAATGTCCCAGCTGACCCAGGGGACAGGGATGGCTCTGCTCAGCTGTGCCTGTTCCCACAGGAGCTATCCTAGGAGCTCTGTGCTCGGGTAGCCCTGAGCAGAGCCGAAAAGTGCAGAACTGGGAGATCCCAGGCACCGAAACCAGTCCCCAACACAGACATTCCACCTGCTCAGACAGACAGACAGACAGACAGACCCTGGAGCCACATTTTGGGGAGGGGGACATCAGTGCTGCCTCTGCTCCCAGGCACTGAGACAAGCAGAACCTGAGCTCCCTGGATTCCCTAAACCACAGAGCTTGTGCTTTCCTTTGTCACAAACTCCCTGGGGGTGGCTTCATACCCAGGACACCCCTAAACCTCATCCCCAGGGCCAGAAGGGCCTGCCCAGGGCAGCAGCACCTCACTAAGGTCTCATGGGTGGCATTAACCCTCCAGCACTGGTGAAGCAGCAGGGAGGGGATCAGAGGGGTGAAACCTCCAGCTCAGCTTGTGCCCCTGAGCTTCCTGGGCACAGCCCTCCCGAGGGGCTTTGGGGCCAGAGGCTGTGCCTGGCTCCTCACTGACCCTGAGTCCATGGCTCTCTGCCCACAGGATGCCATCGATGACAAGCTGGACACCAAGCACTACCCGTACATCTCCACCCGCTCCTCCGCCTCCTTCAGCACCACTGCCGTCAGGTGGGTCCCCCCATCCTCCCCTGGGCACCCTCACCTGGATCAGGCTCCCCCTGCCCTTCTCCAGTTCATCCTCACCTGTTTCACCATCAGCATCCATCCCTCCTGGCTCCAGGGGCTGTCTCCAGCAGCAGGTCTGTGAGCTGCTCTGTGCTCATTCAGGCATCCAGTAGCTCAGTTTCTCCTCAGGCATCCCATTCCTCAGTTTCCCTTCAGGAAAGCTGGAATCCCATGCCTCCATTTCCCTTCAGGCATCCCATGCCTCAGTTTCCCTCCAGACATCCTGTGCCTCCATTTCCCTTTAGGAACACCATGTCTCAGTTTCCCTTCAGACATTCCATGCTTCAGCTTCCCCTTAGGGATCCCATACCTCCATTTCCCCCAGCCATCCCATTCCTCATTTCCCCCAGCCATCCCATTCCTCCATTTCCCCCAGCCATCCCATTCCACATTTTCCCTCCAGACATCCCATTCCTTGTTTTCCCTCCAGCCATCCCATGCCTGATTTCCCCTTCAGTCATCCCATATCTCAAGTTTCCCTCCAGGTATCCCATTCCTCAACTTCCCTCCCGACATCCTGTGTTTCCATTTCCCTACAGGAATCCCATATTTCCATTTCCCCAGGCAGGCATCCCATGCCTCAGCTTCCCTTCAGTCATCCCATACCTCCATTTCCCCCAGGCATCCTGTGTGTCCTTTTCCCTCCAGCCATCCCATTCCTCAGCTTCCCTCCTGCCATCCCGTGCCTCACTTTCCCCGCCCGTAACCGCGCTGGAAAGCCACGCTCCTCCGCCTGGGAGCAAACCGGTGTGCCCTGGAGCCGAGGGGTGGTGCCTCGTGCCCTCCTTCACCCTCCTCTTCCTCCCTCAGCGCCCGCTACGGCCACTGGCACAAGAACAAGGCTCCTGGCGAGTACCGCAGCGGGCCCCGCCTCATCATCTTCATCCTGGGCGGGGTGAGCATGAACGAGATGCGCTGCGCCTACGAGGTGACACAAGCCAGCGGCAAGTGGGAGGTGCTAATAGGTGAGTGGGGACCCCCGGGCCCACCCCTGGGTGCTGCCTGCGCTCATCCCACGCTCCACCCCGCTGGTTCCCGGCTCCCGGCGTCTGCGGGAGCTGGAGCGCGGCGGGAGGGTTCTGTCCCTGTCGCCCCGGCTGGCCCCGCTCCCATCCGGGTTGCGTCACTCCACCCCATCCTCATTCTGGCTCCCCATTTCATCATCCCCCTGGTTGGTTTGGCCTGAGCAGGGCTGGGTGAGAGGGAAGGAGGTGTTGGCAGCTCGGATTGCTCCTGTTTGCACCTGTGTTGCTCATTCTCGGGGGCTGTTAGAGGAAGGGGAAAGCAAACCGCGAGGTGTGCAAACGGGAGATGTGTTTTCCTGTTGTGCAGGGCAAGGTCTCACGGGTGGCATTAACCCCAGCAGCGGGTCCCTCACCCCAGGCAGGACTCAGAGGGGTGAAACCTCCAGCACAGCTCATGCCTCTGAGCTTCCCAGGAGGGGAATCCTCAGCACGGCCCTCCTGAGGGGCTCTGGGCAACAGGACATTTGTGTGCTCAGTCTCAGCATCCAGTCTCTATTCCCAGAGGAGCTGTGGGTCAGGCAGAGAGGACACAGTGGAAGTTCTGCCAGATGTTAGCAAGGAGCTTTTAGGTGCCCTAGAATTCCTCTGGGAAGCACAGCTTGGATACACACCTTGGAGAGCAGGGGCAGGTTTCCCTCAGCGTCTCATCTGGATTCCTGGTCCCTGGATTCTTTCCCAGGATGGCTGGTGGAGCCTGTTGTTGGCAGCTCATCTGCTCCTTGGGAGCAGCATCCCATCTCCATGACCTCCTGCCGCCCATGGATGTGTCCCCCTGTCACTGGACACCCATCCCAGCTCCATCCCATCCCATCCCGCCTCTCTCCGGGGACCATCCCCTGCATGCGCCTCCGATGCTCTGGGTCCACCTGCGTCCTTCCTCACCCCAAAAACAGGTGGTGGTGGTGGTGGGGAGCCTTGGCACGGCCGTCAGCCCCGCTCTGTTCTCCTGCAGGTTCTACTCACATTCTCACTCCCACCAAATTTCTCATGGACCTGAGGCACCCCGACTTCAGGGACTCCACTAGGGTATCATTTGAGGATCAGGCTCCAGCAATGGAGTGAGCCAAAGAAAACCAAGTAAAGGCAGCTTACTAATGAAAAAAGAAACTCTTCCTCCCCGAAGGGTTTTCTTTGATTCTTCCGGTCCTCCTTTCTTTGATTATTGTTTTGGGTTCTGGTGGGTTCTCCGATGAGAAAATGCTTGCGGTTCCTCCTTCCAGGTGGAAGAGCCTCCAGTGTCGCTCCATCACCCCTCTGCCATGTCTCTTGGCCAGGCCTGGCCGGCTCCTTCATGCCATGAGTCCCCCCTCGCCAGGGCTGGGGGCGGCGGGTCAGGGTCCTGCCTGCCCAGGGAGGTGTCCCAGGGCTGGGCAGGGGGATGGAACACCCCGGGATGCTGCTCCTGGAGCAGGGCTGGGGGTTCAGTGCCCAGGGAAGAGCAGGCACACTCAGGTGGAGACCCCATCACAGGCTGGGCACTGCCATGACCTCTGGTTCCCCAGGCAGCTCAGGTTTGCTCTTGTGGCAGGTGAACCCCTTGGATAGGCAGGAGCCCCCTGATGTAGACCCCCCCAGACCTTCTACTGGGGTTTAGCTGCTGGTGGTTTTCCTGGTGAGACTCACCATGGCATCCCCCGTGTGCTGGTGTGGGCAGCGTGGTGGGGGCCCCACTGGCACCGTGCTGGGTGAAGCAGAAGGCGAGAGCCCCTTTTCCTCCTCCCCTCTCACCCGTCCCCTTCCCAGCCTCCCTTCTGTTCCCAGGATGCTCCGTGCAGGCTGGGGGACCTCTGGAATGTCCCTCCATGCCAGCTGCTGCCTGGAGACCTCTGGAATGCCCCTCCCTGCCAGCTACTCCCCACTGCCCACCCACATCCCCCACCCACCCTTCCTGCATCCCCGAAGGTTCCAGTAATGCCCCCACTGCCACGACCCCCTTGCACAGGCACCTCCCTGCCCTTTCCTCATTCCCTCCAGCTCCATCCATTGCCTTCATCCCTCCCTCTCCACCCCTTTCCCGTTATCCCTGCCCCCACATTCCCCTTCCCCACAGACGTGCATTTCCCCGCAAGCATTTCCAGCGGCGCGGGGCCGGCGCCGCCAGGTAAGGGGGACCCGGGACAGCGGGAATGTGGCGCACCGGGAGGGAGGGGTGGTCCCAAAACCGTCACTGATTCTCCAGGCCCCTGCCCTTCTCCTCTGCTCCCACAGGGTCCACGCACATCCTCACCCCACAGAAACTGCTGGACACGCTGAAGAAACTCAATAAAACAGAGGAAGAGAGCAGCAGTTAAAAGGAAACGCCGTCACCACTCGATGCCGACCCACGTCCCCGCCGGGTGCCCGGCCCCGGGTGCCACCCTGCACCCAGCGGGCACAGCTTCTCTCTTGTTCTTGTGTTGACCCCTCCCCTCCCACTGCCTCCCCCTCCCCCCCCACATCTCATTTTATCCACAGGGAGGGGACAACAGCCAAAAAAAAAAAATAATATATATATATATATTAAGAAAATGGATGCATTGTGTTTAAGAGAAAAAGGAAAAAAAAAAATCTATATATTTGTAGCTGCAGCTGTGGGAAGCGCCCAGGAGCTCATTGCTGAGTAACCATCTGCCCATTGCTAGTGAATGTGGTGGGAAAATAGTGGGAAAACACCGTTTTTTTGGGGGGAAGTTGCTCCTCGTTGGGGTCCTTTGAGGGTGGAAGGATGGATGGACGGACACCCCACATCGCTCCAGCCGGCGCTGGATGGGGGGTCCCCACCACCATCTGCTGTCCCACGGCTTTTTGGGGTGGTGGGAGCCCCTGCCAGCTGTGCCCAGGGGTAGGTGGGAGGTGTGAGGGGGGTGCAGCCGGGAGGCTTCGCACTGTGGTGATTCCCACGTGAAAAGGGACCAAAACGGTCAAAACTCGGAGATCTGGCTCGTTCGCTTGCACGGCCACTGCTCTGCCCTGCTCAGCCTGACGTCTGCCTCTCTGGGGACTCCTTGAAAAATATATATATATATAAAAAATTAATTTTATATATATATATATATATAGAATATCTACCCATGGATACCTCTCCAGCCATCCCAAAGGAAGCTCAGTGCCCCGTGCCCGGCCCCGCTCGTGTCGTCCCGTGGTGAAGCGTTTCTGAGCGTGCCGTCGCCCCGAGGCCCCCCCCACCCCAAAAAACCTTCTGGGCCCCTTTCCCAAACCCTTTGGGGCCTCCCCGACCCTCTGAGCCCACACCCCGAACCCTCCAGACCTCCCCAACCCTTCAGCCCCCCCAAACCCTCCAAGCCCCGCCCCAGAACCCTCTGGACTCTGTGTATATTAATGACTGTGTCTCGTGACGTTCTTACAAGCTTGGTGTATAGTGATTTCCCCAAACCTTTTGATTTTAATTGGTTTGTTTTTTATTTTTATTTTCCACCCCTTGGATTGCCCCCCCACCCTCCCTTCCCCTGCCATTAGATGCACTGCAATATTTTGGGGTCTTATGGTTTTGTTCTCCCTCTCCCCCTGAAGGCTGTGACCCCCTTTTTCCTTCCCCCAGATTGCTCTTTCTTGCCTCGTTGGTGGTTAGCCCCCCCTTCCCTCCCTGTCTGCTCCTTGCCCATAAAGTTAAATATATATTTTTAGGGCAAAGGCTGTATCATTGCACTGATATTTGTTGGTTCCCCCTCGGTCCTCCCAGCCCGTTTTTGTTCCTTCTTGGTTTTAGCGATGCAAATGCTTCAGGATCTTGTATGTTGGACATTATTATTATTATTATTATTTTTTTCTGTTACAGTTATTTATATAAAAAATAATTTATCAAAAAGGAAAACTTAAAAAAAAAATAATCTAGTCTGTCTTGGAACTTGTTTACCTTGAAATTACTGGAATCTAAATGTTTGAAAGTGTTGAAGCACAAACATGTATCATCTCTGTATATCTGTTCTTCTGTACTAAAGCACTCGAGTGACTAAATAAAAGCGATCTCCATCCCTAGTGCAACTGGGGCTGTGCTGTGCCACTCGTTGGGGGCCAGGAAAACAAAAACAGGGAAAAAGATGTAGGGAAATACCCCACCCAGCCCCACACACCTCCAGCAGAGGGATCGTGGTGCGGCGGTGCCAAAACTCCCCGAGAAATGGCTTTGGAAAGGAAAACAAGCACGCAAAGTCATCCAACCACGTTTATTTCCTTCAAAAATAGGTGATTTCTTAGTACAAAATACCAGCCCAGTGGCTCTGCTGGGCATTAAAAAATAGGGGATAAGGGGAAAAACCCATCCTTTCGCTCCTGGCTGCTGCGTTTGGGACAGTCAAATGTGCTTCCCACACGCTCCCATCGTACCTTGGCTGGGCTGGGGGGGATCACAGCTTCCAGTTTGGGACACAGGCACGAGCAGAGGCAACCAGAGCCACAGAAATCCTCTTTAAAATCCCCCCAGCCCACCCTTCTCCCCCCAAAAAGGGCAGAGGGGTGGGGGCAGCCCCATTCCCAGCCCCTCCCTGTCCCCTCTGGGCTGGGTGTAGGATCAGGCTCAGGGATTGCTCAGGAAGGCTCCGGTCCTGAGTCACTCGCTGGGGATGGCACTGATACCACCCCACCCCCAAATGGGGGTCTCTGTACCACAAATAAAAGCAAAAATAAATAAGATTTGACACTGGCACTTTAGGTAGGTCCTACAGATAAACAGAGCTGGGGTGCCACAGGAGGTGCTGGAGGGGTTTGACTGGACCCATCCCAGGAAAAGCTGCTCTGACCACGTCAAATTCCTTTAAAAAAAAATAGGCATTAACTCATGACAAACCCAGCTGGGAGGGACAGGGGTTCTGCAGACCCCCCTCAGCACCACATCTGCCCCCCAGCTCAGTCTTGCAGGGTGATTTTTTTCCCTCTACCCGACTGGGAATCCCAGGGGGAAACCCCAAAATCCTTCATTTCATTTTCTGCCTGGATGATGCTGTGGGCGGCCACATGCAGGGATGGCCAAAAAAACCCCACAAATGCCCTAAGGGTTGTGCTGGAAATGAAAACCCATATATATATATATATATATATATATATGTGTGTATCTATGTAAAGATATATCTACAGATACAGATCTGTGTATATACAGATTTATATAGAGAGATATATCATCTGTCTTTCTGGAGATATATATCTAAATATAGATAGACATGGATTTATCTCTGTCTGGATATATCCTTATATAGATACATATATATACACACACACGTTATATATCATCAATCAACCCTCAAAGAGTGGTTTAGCTGCTTAGTAGCTATCTTGAGGAAAAATAAGTAAAAAAAAAAAACAACAACCCAAACCTACAAAAAGAAGAGTTTCCCCAAAAAGGATCCTGTTGGGTTCAAGTCCAAGGGCAGAGCAGGAGGGGGACACATGGGCTGAGCCCCCAGAGGAGGCCTAAAATCTGGGGAAGGGGTGGAATAGGGAATCACAGGTATGTCTGCCCACGCAGGCACAGAGGTAAACACAGCTGCCAAGGGGGGCTCGACCAGTGCAGCACCTACACCAGGTCACAGCACCCCCAGAAGTGCTTAGGTTGGGGTGGCCACTGCCTTGGGGGGGGGACACGGGACCACCTCCTTGGTCCCAGGGGCTGGAGCTCATTCCCCAGGGTGCTGCAGGTCCCAAGAGAGCCCTGCCCACACCTTCCCCCCTCCTGCAGCTTGAGTGGTCCTGAAAACACACAGACAAACAGAAAAGCAATTCAGGATCTTCAGGCAAGCAGGAAGGGCGTGGGAACCAGGGCAAGACTCCCTGGAGATGCCTCCAGCCCTGGTGTCCCCTGATCTGGCAGGGAGCACCCAGTGCAGGGCTGCTGATGGCAGGTGGGGTGGGACACCATCCTCCTCCTCATCCCTGCCTGCTGCGAGAGCAGGGATGGCTTGGAAGGTGCTGGCGGGACCCTCAGAAGAGGCAGGAGCCCCTCAGGCCCTGCAGGACCCTCAGGGGAGGCAGGAGCTCCGTGGGACCCTCAGAAGAGGCAGGAGCCGCGCAGGTCCCGTGCCCGGCCTAGCTCAGCGGCCAGTGCCCGGCTCATGCGGCTGGTGGTCACCCTGACACTCTGGGCAGCCTCCACGGCCCGGCTCAGGGACCAGTTCAGCTCATCCAGCTCCTCCAGGTCCAGGCTGAGGCAGCGGTGGCCGGGCTGTGCCCGGGGGGGTCGCTGTGCCCGCCGGTGCCCCGCGGTGAGGTGCAGGGGGACCCCGGCCGTGGCTGAGGTAGGTACTGCTGGGGAGCAGTAGCTGGGAAGAAGAAGAAGGGGACATGGGCTCAGCGTTGCTCCTGAGCCCCTCCACTGAGGCTCTGTGCCCCCCTTCTGCCTTGTTTTCATCCCTCTCCCCCACCTCACCCACCCCCACCCTCCAGCACCTTTCCCCTCCGCTCAGACCCCTCCCCAAAGGAGCTGCGGCTGTGTCACCCCATTCCCACCTGGATGGGATCTGGGGGCCAACCAGCAGGTCCTTAGAGTGGGCACAGCCCTTCCTGGATTCACCCTGCACCCCTGGGGGATGCTGACCCACTCTAGGACCCCTCCCCACATGCCCACAGAGCATCCTTACAGCACGGAGGGCACGTAAGGCACGAGGGGGACGGGGGCGAGGCAGACGGTGGCAGCGGTGGCAGCAGGACCGGCTGCCAGGTACCAAAATCCAGGCTGCTCCAGCTTCTCGGCTCGGGGACCAACGTGGGAGTCGGGGGGGGATGTGGCACCGGAGCCACGCTCTGCTGTGGGGAGAGAGGAAGATGGCTGGGGGGTTAGATGTCCCCAGAGGTGCTGGATGTCCCCAGGGCTGTGCATCGAGCGGCAGTCCCAGATGACATCACCCCCTGGGCAGCCACTGCTGGGTGGGCACACCCATGCCCGCAGGTGGCACTGCTGGCTGTCACTGCTTGCTGTCGCTTCTGTGCCCAAGCAGTGCCAGGGAGCTGAGGGCTGTTCCCTGCCCAGCCCCCACGCAGGGATGGACACGTGTCACCCTGTCACCCACCGTGCGTGGCTCTGTCCCTGCTGCCTGGCACGGGGAGGCCCAGAGGTGCCCGGCAAGTGGGGCAGCGTGTCCTCCTTGGGGTGCTGTGCTGGGGCTGCTGGGTGGCATCACCCACCCAGAATCCATCTATGGAGAGAGCAGGGAGGAAAACGGGAATGTCCCGTGAGGAACAAGCGAGGGATGCTTTGGGAAGAGCAGAGTGGTTTGGGGGAGTGGCTGTGATGGGGTGGGGGCTGATACAAAGAGGGGTCTGCAAAAATGGGCTCTGCACTGGCACCTGGGTCAGGCTCCCATTGCTCCCAGTAACACCAGTGGCTGCAGCCCCAGGGCAGAGGGGTCTGGCCGAGGAACAAGGGTCATGAGGAATGGGGTCCCCCCTCCCCGAGCCTCCCTAATTAACGAATTAGTCATTAGCAGCTCTATTAGCAGGTGGTAGGGAAGGCCAGAAGGGGCTGGGGGCTGCTCCCCACTCACCTGCTGATGTCCTGCTCCTGTGACATCGGGGGCACCCCGGGGTGCCTGGCTCCTCTCGGGGTGCTGGGGCAGCACGGGGTGTCCCCCTGGTACCGTGTCCCTGCCAAAACCCAGCGTGAGCACGGCCGGGGACCCCAAAGTGGGGGTGGCCACCCCACCCCCAGCACTGACCGCCACCAGCACCCACCTGTGTACTGTCCCCGGAATGTCACCGCTCCTAGGGGGCTCCCAGGGTGCTTCCGCAGGGACGAGGGTGCCCTGGGGCCAGAGGGTGAGGGGTCCGACTCGGAGGCTGTGGATAGGAGAGGGAAGTGGGGTGGGATCTGATGAGTCTGAGGCAGGACCCACTGTGGGGTCTTATGGGACCACCAGGACCTGCCTGGTCCCTGCAGTCCCACAGCCCCACCAACACCCCAGTCCGTTCGGGGAGGGGCGTACAGGGAGGGGCTTGTCCCCTCTATCCCCACCCCGCTGGAGTCCCACTTACTGAGGTCCAGCTCCGGCCTGTCCCGTGGCAGCGATGCCGACCTCCCCCTCCGCGTGGGTGCGACCCCGGGGGGCGCCCTGCCCCGCGCCGGGGGGCTCAGCTCCCTGCGGAGGGGACAGAGATGCTGTCATCACCCAGACCCCTCAGTGACCCCACACAGCCAGCTGCCGGTCCCCCCCAGCCCAACCTCTCCCTGTCACAGCAGAGGGGGGACATGGCTGGGGCTGGGGGTGTCCCCACGCCCATGGGACACAGTGTCGCCCCCCCAGGTCCCTCCTGTCACCTACCCCGCGGGTGCTGCGTCCTGGGGGGACGATGGTGCGCTGCCCACGGGCTGCCTCCTGGCCGGGGCGACACGGGGAGTGGCTTTTCCCTCGGGATAGCTGCGGGAGCGCCGCAGGCTCTCCTCCAGCCGCCGCCGCAGCTGCCACACCTCCTCCTGCAGCTCCCGGATGGCCTGGCTGTGCGGGACAGAGGCCACGCTGAGGGGGCATCTGCAGCCACCAACGACCCCAGCAGGGCTGCTCCATCCTCCACACCCCCCCATCCCCACCACCAGCACCCAGCAGCTGTGAGGCTCCCCAAAACCAAGCCTGGGGGTCCATCCAGTCTCAGCCACCACACGTGTCACGAGTTTGGAGGGCTCAGCCCCAGCAAGGTCCCGGCTCTCCAAGAAGGGGAACTTCCTGCTGCCCAGCAGAATGTAGGGGTGCCTTTGGGGGGGTTCCCTGTGCCACCCAGAGGGGGTTTGGCTTGGTTTGGGGTTACATGGACACTCACTCACGCTCCAGACGGGAGCCCAGCAGGTCACAGTGAGCCGGGTTGAGCGACGGCAGGTCGGGGGACAGGAGGGTGGGGGACGGCGTTTCAGGGGATGGGGGCGGGCTGGTTGGGGCTGGGGATGGAGGGACCCTCCTGGCCATGGCTGGCGGGTGTCCACTGGTGCTGGCACAGCTCCTGTCTCCCACCTCCGAGTCCGTGTGAGCTGGGGAGGAAAGGGAGCAGTGTGAGAAACGGGGTTGGCCCCTCTGCCCCAGGAGGGAGAATCTCAGGAGACATCCCCAGTCCTGCACCCAAAGGGGTTTGGGAACACCATAAATCAGAGCTTCTTCCCCCTCCCCCGCCCTCCCACGGCCGGGGCCCCCCAAATCTCTCTCCCTGAGGACACGTCCCTCCCCAAGCGCTGCCTGCTCACCTCCGTCACCGCCGGGGTCGGGTCCCGCCTCGCTGCCCGCGCTCTCGGCCCAGCGAGGGGGGGAACTGCTCTGCGAGGGGGTGCTGGGGGGCAGGCAGGGCCCCCCCGTGCCTCCCTGCCCGCCCGTGGGGTAGATGCCCATCAGTGCTCTCTCGGAGGGAAGTGGGGTCGTCTCTCTCTTCCGTGGGGCACGGAGGGTCGTTGGGATGGGGATAGAGGGTCCCAGAGCACCGGGGGTCCTGGGGATGAGAGGGGTCATGCAGGGAGCCCTCATGGCTCAGCCCCCAGCCATGGGCCACCCTGCACATCTCCAACCGCCCCAGCACCCCCAGTCCGTGAAGCCTCTCCCCCTATCCCTGCTCCTCTTCAGTCCCCCGCAGACAGAGCCGACAGCCCGTACCCCTGAATTCCTGAAGGCAGGGTCTGGGGGCCGTACCCGCTGCCAGGGGGGCGGTGCTCGGGGGTGTGCACGGGGGGTGACACCCTGCTGGCCTCCGAGCCCACGAAGCCACTGTCCGTCTCCGGTGACACAATGCGCTGCTCCTGCAGGGGCACGGGCACAGCAGGATCGGTGCTGAGCACCCCAGGACCCCCGAAAGGGTCTAGGGGTGCTGGCAGAGGGGGGCACGCAGGGGATTCACCTTGCGGGGCCCGTGCTGGGGGGCAGCGCTGCCCGTCCCGCTGCTGCGGCCGGGACAGGGGCGCCCGTGGTGGTCCGGAGGCCACCAGGTGGGGCTTGGCAGTGGCTGGTGGCTCCTCAGAGGTGGCAGGGGATGGGTGGCCCCCTGTCCCCTCTGCCTTTGGGGGTCCCCTGGAGGGCAGCAGTGCAGCTTTTCTCTCCGGGGGATGCCTGTGGGGGAAGGGAAGGGATGGACAATGAGGATGAGGCAGAGCAATCCCAAACGTGGGGAGATCCCTGCTGCAGCAGCTCTCCCGTGGAGGACGTGAACTCTGAAGCCAGTGAGGCAAAACAGGAGCCCGGAGGGCAAATTCCTGCTCGCCCTGCCTGGGGAGTCGTCCTCCCTCAGCACTTACAAGGGGAAGGTCTCCAGGTCGGCCCCCTCCTCCAGTGACCGTGTCCTGCAGGGGACTTTGCCGGGGCCACCGTCCCGTGCTGCAGGAGCATCCACCTCCTCCTGGGACCCGCTCCCCACCAGACTCAGCTGCTCCAGGCTCAGCGACGCCGGCAGGGACTTGAAGTGCTTGTACCTGGAGGGGATCACAGGGTGGTTTCGGGGAGATGCTCCCTGCCCGAGCCCCTCCCACGCTGCCACGAGGGCACTCACCGCTCCAGTAGGTCCCCGAAATCCTCCTCCACTTGGAGCTGCTTGTGCCAGAGGGGCCAGGGCAGCCCCCCCATCACTCCCTCGTGGTCCCCCGCTGTCCCCAAGGGACCCTCCACCAGTGCAGGGTTCTGCAGGGCACAGCAAAAGGCGGGGGTCGAGAGGCATGTCCCCCCCCCCCAGCTGCAGCAGGGTGCCCCCATCCCAGCACCTCTGCACCCCCAGCTCACCTCGGGGGGTGGGGAGTGGGTGACCGGCGGTGGGGACGGGGCTGGGGGGCATCGGGGCTGAGGAAGGGGCTGCGGAGGGGACTGCAGGGGGGGAGGCCGCCTGCCCCCCGGCTCCAGCCCCTCCTTCAGCCCCTCCAGGCGCAGCCCCAGGCGGTAAATCTCCTCTTCTACCGCCCTGAAAGACATCGGCAGTCAGTGCCAGGGGGGGATGTACAATGACCCCCGGGGACCTGCGGGCTTTGGAGGGGTGGCCCGTGGGGGTCGAGCACGTACCGGTCAGGATCAAAGCCCCCCGCAGCCCCCTGGAACTGCTGTCGGCCACGCAAGTATTCCCGCTCCAGTGCATCCTGCGCGTCCTTCAGCAGCCTCATCCTCTGCGGCACAAGGAATGCGGGGTCCGACCCTGCCCGCTCGGCACTGGGCCCCAAAACCCAGCGTGGTCCCGCCCCGGGTTGGGGGTCCGGGAAGGGGCTGACACACCTGGAGCTGCTCCGAGAGTGGGGAGCTCCCCCCACGGATCCATCTTTCGAAGGACTCCACCTGGCCAGGAGAGAACGGGCTGAGCCCGACCCTGCAGCAGCTCTCCCTCCGCAGGTCCCCTCAGCGCTCCCCAGGCCCCTTGCCCACTGCCCCCCATCAAAAGTCTCCCCCTAGCTGCACCCCCGGCAACTCCCCTCCCCAGCCCCCTCCATATCCCCCTCAACGCACTCTCTCCCCACAGCCCTCCTGCAGTAACCTATAGGTCTACAGCCCCCTGCAGCCCCATAGCCGCCCCAATTCCCCCCAAACCCACAGCAGCTCCCATCCCTGCAGACCCCACAGCCCTCCTCCTTCAAGCCATCCTGCATTCCCCCCAAACCCCTCCCTGCAGCACACCCCATGTAGCCCTTCAGTCACCCCCACCAGCCCCCTCCCACAGCCCCCAGCACTTCCCCCACACCCCCTCCACCCTGCAGCCCCACGCAGACCCCCTCACAGCCCCCCGGTCCTTGCCTGTGCCTGCAGCCTGCGGCTCTGCCCTGCCAGAGCCCGGGTCAGCCGAGGGCCGGGGCAGCAGCACGGCCCGGGGCAGCTGGGGCAGCCCCCCCCGGGTGGAGGGGGGGATCGGGGATGGGGTGAACCCCCCCGATCTGATGGTCCCGGTGCTGGAGCTGCGAGAAAACACGAGGACAAGTGACCCTGGGGACCCTCCCCCTGCACTGTGAGGAATCCGCGGGTGTTGGGTGAGCATCCCCCCAAAAAACGGGTCAGGAGGGTGATGAGATGGACAGGAAACACGGATCGACCCACCTCCAGCTGGCGAGGTGGAGGCTGTGGCCGTGGCTGTGTCCGTGCCAAGAGCTGCCGTCCGGGCTTGTGGGATGCTGAGGGTCATCACACGGCAGCCGCTGCCCACGGTGCCCACGGCCAGGCTGTGGCTGGGCTGGGGCGGGTCCGAGAACAGGCTCACCTGGGCAGGGACGGCGGGTTCAGGTACCCACCCTGCACCCCGACCCCGGCACCGCCCACCCACCGTGCCCCCGGGGCACCCTGAAGCACCTCAAGTGCGTGGGGGAGCACAGCCCTGCCTCAGTTTCCCCACCCACGCAGCGGAGCAGGGCGGGAGGTGGCAGAGGTGACACGGGGACACGCTTCCGCCGGTGGCCCTGCCATCTCAGTGAAGTGCCTCGCCATTTTAGGGACACTCTGGCTCAGCCGCCCCCCTGGCACGGAGGGCGATCCCACCACGAGGCGGGCACGGTGGCCGCCGGTTTGCTGTGGGCTCTGCGGTGGCCTCACCCCTCCCTCCCCGGGCCAGGCTTGCTCAACCGCAGCTCCCCGCGAGGAGGAAGAGGAGGAGAGCTGGGGGAGGAAGACACGCTGAATAACCCCAGGGAGGGAGGAGCAGAGTGGGGGACCCCCCGGAGCCACCCCAACCCCACACCCACCCTGGCCCCCAGGCGCAGCTGGTCGATGGTGTTCTCAGCCTCGGCGTACTTGGTCAGCAGCTTGTGGTAGTCGTCCTGCAGAGAGGGGACACCAGTGGGTGACAGCACCCGGTACAGGGGGGGATGGCAAAGGGGGGAGACAGCCCTGTGTGAGGACAACAGGCCTGGGGGAGCTCCTATAGGTGGGCGACACTCTGGAGTGCAGAAACCCACCCCCAAAGCGCCCGGCCCTTCTGGGGCAAATGTGGATCCCGTTTGTTTACATGGGGAGAGCTCCCCTCTCCTCCCAGGGGACAGGAGGGCATCCCAGGGGACATCCCAGTGCCTCCAGCCTGAGCACTGCCCACATCCCTGTCTGCTCCTTCCCTCCCGCCCGTGTAGGACTGAGAAGGGGTGACCACCACCAACCTCCCATGGGTGACACAGCACCAGCTCACGAAGCCGGTGACATCCCCATTTCACCACCACCCCTTTTTCTCCCCCACCTTAGTGACCCTCCCTGTACGAACTCTCCTGCCGGAGTGGGAGGAGCTGGGCGTTACCTGGAGCTGCTGCACCAGCGCGGTGGCTTGTTTGGGGGACCTGAACTCCTGTGGCAGCCCGGCGGCGCTGGGGGGCTGCGGGGAGACCCCCTCCCCGCTGCTCAGCAGCACCTCCCGCACGATTTCGGCCGGGGACTTGAAGCCGACGGGGCCACCGGGCACCCTGGGGCGGGCGGGCAGGACCCGGCCCCGAGGGGGGCGGTAGCTCTGGTCGAACTTCACCCGCGCCTCCACCTTGGACAGGTCGGGCAGGGGGTGGTTGAGGCGCCCGCGGCCGTACTGGGTGCCATCCGTGCCCGTTCCCGAGGCATCCCTGTGCCCCTTGCCTCCCGTTCCCCGCCGGGGGCTCAGGGACCGCGACTGCCGGGCGGGCTTGGGGGGCACCCCCGTGGGCGCCGCTTTTTTGGGCACCCGGGACCTGTCGTGCAGTTGGGGTGCTGGGGGGCTCCCGGCGCCCCGGGGCTCCTCCGGGGGTGCCAAGTCAGTGGTGCCAGGGGCTGTTTGGGGCTTGGGGACAGGCTCGGGTCTGGTGGCGTCGCGGGGCTCATCGGTGGAGTGGGGCAGTGGGAGGCTCCGTCTCGGAGTCCATCCCCGCCCGTGCCCTCCAGAGGTGTCCCCGGCCGTGCCCCAGCCCCGGGGTCGGCGGGATGGGGTGGCAGGGCCAGGGCTGGTGTCCGACAGCGCCGAGGTGTCCCCACCATCCGTGCTGCAGCCGCGGGGCTGGCAGAGAGCCTGGTGTTCCCGCAGAGCCTCGGGGCTGCCGCTGGACCCCGAGCCCCACCGGCCCTCGAAGGAGAGCTCGGGGTAGGGCTCCCCGTCACTCTCTGCCCCCCAGGGCCCCTCGTCCCCGCCGGAGCTGCCCCGCTCCTCGTCCTGCCCTGCCAGGTCCCGCTGCGGGTGCCAGCGACCCTCCTCCACCGGGGACCCCTCCTCCAGGTCCTCACCGTCACCTGCAAAACACCAGCGGCGCGGGGCTGCTGCCAGCCGGACCCAGACGGTGCCCCCACCCTTCCCGCAGCCCCCCTTGGCTCCAGCGCATCTGGGACCACCCCCGCGAGGGGCTTTGGGCAGGAGGGAGGGGACGACTCACCCCACGGTGGGCTCCTGGCACCCTCCCCCAGGCCGATGACCCCGTCCTCGTCCATCCGCCTCTCAAAGTCGTCTTCTTCCTCCTCCTCCTCCTCGTCCTCTCCCTCCCAGGGCGTCAGCTCTGTTTGTGTGCAGTGCAGCCATGGTGCCGGGCTGGCCATGGCCGCGGGCACGGCCGCCCCTGTCACTTGTGCCGCTTCATGGCCCGATGGTGGCGGCGGGCTGGGGACCTCCTCGTCACGAATGTAGGTCACAACATCGCCGCCGCGTCCTGGGGCGGGGGGAGGCGAGGGAGAGGGAGGGATGTCAGCAGGACGTGGTGGGCTCTGTTTGAGGTGTGTTCCCCCACTGCCAGGACTTCCCTTGCCCCCCTAAATCCAGGGGAAGAGCAGCCTCCCCTCCCAGGGAACACCCAGCCCGTGCTGGCACCCTGGGGATGTCACCCCAGCCCTGGGGACCATCAGCGGTGCCATCACGGTGCAGGATGGTGCTGGGGGAGGCGGGAGCACCCCAAAACCCCTCTGGATCTGGGGGGCTGACAACGAGAGGAATCGCAGCAGAGACCTGGCACACTCATTCCACGGATAACCCAAGAGCACGAGCTCCCCCTCACCCACTCCTGGGGTTCCCAGAGCCGCGGCAGCCGCTCGAGAAACGCCAGATGTCAAAACCCCAGCGCGGGGTGTGTAGCAAGAAAGGTCACGGGCTTTTCCCATCAGCATCCCCCCAGGTAGATTGGAGCCCAACCCCCCAAATTTTGGCCAAAAACCAGGCTCAACCAGCCCCCTGCAGGGAACTCACCCTGTACCAGTACCCCCAGGACACCCCCATCACTGTGAGCCCACCTGGGGTCCCCAAAGCAGCATCATTCAGAGCACCCCAAAACCTTCCTGTGCTTTTGGGGCAGCTGAGCTTTTGCAGAAGTAGGAAATGATGCTTCCTGCAAGTTTGCAGGCAGCCACCAACTTTTTAACCCCATCCGGCCCTGCGCAGTGGGGGCTGGACCCTCCCCCCACAGCCATTTTCCATCCAAACCCTTTGTTTTTTAATCCAATTTGGAGCAAAACGCTGTAGCAAAAGAGGGGAGGGGGATCACTGGGACCATCAGCCTCTAAAAGACATCAGGATGAGGGTCAGGAGGAGGCACAAAATTAAGCCTTAAAGCCCCCAAATTCACCCAGCTGGACCCTCCCCTCAGGATTTCCAACCCTCTCCGGATCTGCAAGGAGTGGGGTGTCCACCTTGCCCCCCATGCCGAGATGCTGCTCACAACCCCAGGGATGCTGCAGCCATACCCAGGCACCGTGGCATGTCCTGGCACATCTGCAGGCAGCCAATTAATCAGCTCGTTACTGTGTAATTAGTGGCACGCGGGGGAGAGCTTGACGAGCTAATGAAACCACGGCACGGTCCCTGGGGTGGCTGTCTTTAGCCAGAGGGTGATTTTGAGGTGCTGCTGGCTCGGGAGTGGTGGTGATGAGCAGCAAACCTACCCATGCCACCCACACGCTCCGGGAGAAGTCCCCTAATCTACTCCCAAGCCTCAGCTCTGCAATTTTTTGGGGTGTTGGTGGGGGTTTGGGGGTTATTTTCCGGTGCCACCTGGTTCAAGGTCCTTGGGCATCATCCTTGCAACTCACTCCAAGCCCAAGCTCCAAGGAGCTCCAAGCTCCTGCATCTTTGGGGTGTTCCAGGCAGGGAACAAACCCCAAATCGTCTTTTAGGGTTTTGCAAACCCCCTGGGCTGTTTGCATGAGGCTTTTCCCCACACACTGACCGGGTATCTCCACACCTGCAGATGCTCCACAGCTTCTCCTGCCACCAGGGCTGCCCACGGGATGCTTCAGGCCCTGCACTAACGCAGCTAAAGAGGGATTTGGGCTTTAGCCCCTCTCTGAGCTGGGATGTTTCTAGTCCTACACCTTGAATCACATCCCAGAACCTGGAGATGGGGCCTGGAGATCCCCACCAAAGTGCCTCCCATCCCACCTCAAGGCCCCTCGGCATCCCTGAGTGATGAGGAGCCCAAACACCACCCCAGGGTGTCCCAGAGGGCTGGTGGTGGGAGAAAGGAGATTGCAGGTCCTGTTTTCTTGGGACAAAGAGCATTAAAACATTTCCCACCCCGTTCTGGCAGTTCTTTAACCCCATACTGGATATTTTGGGTCTCTTTTGGGGGGGTTTGAAGGAGGCCATGCCCAACCCACACACCATTGGCTGGCACCCCATTTCTGAGCAGTGGTGCCCAGGCTGCACTGCCCACAGAAGCCACAGTCTGCAGGAGCCACTTCCAAATCCAGCCACATCTATTGCTTTCCCAGAAAGTCCCTCCACTGATGGTCATGGTGGTAAGAGAGAAAAATCTTGGCTTTTTTTTTTTTTTCCTCCCCTTTTCAGTGAGTTTCTCACTGTTATGGGAGCACTGAAAAGCTTGAGAAATAATGTGGTTCCATAAACAGGAGCCACAAAGCAAATGCAAAAAATAATATATGTTTATATATTTATTATTTTAAAAAATTTTGCTCTTTGAGAGCTGGGATTTTGCAACAACGTAATTGGAAAAGGAGCTAAAAAAAAGACGCTGCAAAGCCTCAACAAGAAAGTCTTGCACCTCTGAACTCTGCTCTGCCCTCAGCCCCTCTCCTGCCCTCCAAATCTCAGCCAGGGCTGTCCCAAATTGTGGCTCAGGGTGGAGGTGCCTGGCCGAGGGAGGGGGTGCTCACAGCAGTGATGAGTGCTGCCAGGTCTCTGCTTGGCCTGCAGACAGGAGGGGTTGTTTCTGCCTGTCCCCTGCCCTCAGCTCCTAATCCCTGATCCTGCCTGCAGGCAGTGATCCCACCCCGTGTGGGGCAGACGGAGGTGTGAGGCTGAGACCGCCCAACTCATTACACGTGTGAGGCTGAGAAACAGCAGCGCAATCGAGGCCAGCACGGATCCATCCTCGCTCCTGGGTTTATCTGTGGTGACAGCAGAGGAGACAGAGCATCCTCCGCCCCAGGGCTGGCTGGGTGACACGTGGAGGGGGGGGACAGGGCTGCTGTCACTCTGCCTTCGCTGCCCTGTCAACCCTGGGCAGAGCAGGCAGGCTGGGGGGGCTCTAAACCCCACACCTCCATCCCCACGGCCCCTGAGCGATGGGGGATCACCCTCCTTCCCTGTGCCCCAAAAATCACTTGCCTGGGAAAGGGGTTAAAGCCCCCCTTGCACATCTGTGCCTGTCTGGGATGCAGGGGGTCCCCAGACCCCTTTTATCCCCCATCCTGGGCGAGGGATGGATATTTGGATCTCCTCTGGGGAGGTTTGGAGGGGCCAGAACGGCCTCAGGCTGGAACTTGGCAAGGGGTGTCTGCACTCCAGGAGGGAGGAATTCCTGGTGTATAAACCCTTTTTTAAAGCCCACAGAGTCCCGTTTTTCCGAGCATGAAAGAGGGCAGAGGAGCGGAAACGCCGCGTTCTCGGTTTGCATTATTTCCTACCAGAACAAGGGAGGGACCGTCACAGTGAGGAAGAGCCTCACAGATCCCCTTGTCCTCTCAAAGAACACATGCCTGTTATCACATCAGGGCTCTAAAGCCCACGTGTCACCCAAATTCCACTGCCTGGAGGGGCCAAACCTGCCCCCAGCTCCCCCACGCTGGCACATCCCCATGGAGAGGTACCAAAACCCCATGGAAACGGCATCTCTCCATCACTTGCCTCGAAGTGAAGCCCCACGGCAGGACAGGGAGCTCCTGCAGCCGTTTTCCTGCCTCTTCCTGAGCTTAGAGACCCTCCTGTTCTCCCCGGGAACAGCCCAGGTGTCCCCCCGGGGTGGAACCCAAACATAACTGCAGCAGCCGGGGGTGGATGGCCCATAATGCCCGTGAAGGACAGACTTAATCCCTGTCTGGAGAGAGCTGCCGCTGTCACCGCGGCACAGCCGGTGACACTGGGAGCCCTCATTAGCACAGGGCAGAGAGAGGTGGCAGGGACACCTACTACTATCCCAGGTTGCTCCAAGCCCCGTCCAACCCTACCTTGGACACTTCCAGGGATCCAGCAGCAGCCACAGTTTCTCTGGGCAACCTGTGAGAGGGCCTCCCCACCCTCACAGGGAACAATTCCTTCCCAAAATCAAATTTTAACCCCTCCTTCAGTTTAGCCATTCCTCCTAGTCCTGTCACTCCATCCCTTGTCCAAAGTCCCTCTTCAGCTCTCTTGGAGCCCCTTTAGGCCCTGGAATGGGCTTTAAGGTCTCCCCGGAGCCTTCTCTTGTCCAGGCTGAACACCCCGAGCTCTCCCAGCCTGTATGGACAGTGCACGGAGTTCCTCCCGCTCCGCGAGCCCTTAAAACATCCCTGCCCGGGAGGCACGGAAAGGGTGCTGCAGAACTGGCACCCACCGGCTATCGGGAGCACGGCCGCCCTTTAAATAAAACACGGAACTGAAGCTGAAAGCTGCCCTTGCGACTTCCTCGGAGGAGCCTCAGGCAGCGGCTCGGCCCCGTGTCCCGCAGCCCCCGCCGAGCCCCGGCAGCGGCTCCGAGCCGCCCCCGCAGCCCCCGACCGAGCCGCCCGGAACCCTCCGGGCCCGGCGGGGAGGAGGCACCGCGGTGAGGAAAGTTATGACAAGTTTCCCCGGGGCCACGGAGGCTCGGATGGCGTGGGGAGGACACGCCTCGGCGAGGAGCGGCGTGTCCCGCATCCTCCTGGTGCCTCCCGCATCCTCCCGGCGCGTCCCGTCTCCTCGGCCGCGGGGACCCCGGAGGGCCCGAGAGTTCCCCCCGCTCCGCCCAGAGACCCCCAGCCGGCTCCCAGCTGCCTAAACCGGGCTTAGAGCGCTGGATGCGCCCGGGGAGCGCTGGATGCGGCCCCGGGGATGGAGCCAGCCCCGCGGGCCCCCTGGCTGTGCTTCCAGCTGTGCCTCCAGCGGCGCCGCGGGGGCCCCCTGCTCCTCTCCCTGCATCAGGGAGCAGCCGAGCCATTCCCGGCCCCCCCGGGCACAGCTGGGGCACATCTGGCCCTGGGGCACCGCTGGAGGGCCAACCCCCCCTTTCCACTCCAACCGCGAGCGCCCCGCGCTGCCCACCTGCAGGGAGGGCCTGAGCGACGCTGGGCGGCCCCGGTCCCGGTCCTGATCCTAATCCCGATCCCGGTCCCGATCCCGATCCCGGTCCCGGTCCCACCGGACAATAGCGCGGCCCGCGGCGGGGGGCGTGGCCTCTGCTCATTAGCATACCCGCCGCTCCCGACCAATCGGCGCCCTCCGCCAGGCGGGGAGCGGGACGTCGTTAGCATAAACCCCGCCCCCACTGTATTTGCATAGCGCGCGGAGCGCGACCAATCAGAGCCGCGGAAGACGGGCCTCATTTAAATAATTTATGCAGCGCGGGCGCCCCCTGCTGGAGCGCTGCGCCTACCCATCCCCCGGGATCGCCGGGAACGGGATGGGAAGTGATGGGATGGGATTGGATGGGGACGGGATGGGGCTGACATGGAGCATCCCCTCCCAGCCCACCACCTGCCCTGCCGGCCCTAGGGAGCCCCACAGTCACCCCTGCCCCTTCTTCCCCCCCCATCCCAGCCCCCAGCAACCCCCCCCCCAACCACAGCCCTTTTCTACCCTGATAGATTTATTGAAAAATTAAAAGCACAAGCTCTGTATATATAAATACGACGACGTTGCCAGCGATTTACAAGGCCTTCAGTTGCTCTCTCTGCCTCCCCACCCGTGGCCTGTGCGACCCACCTGGGCACAGGGGGTGAGCACCCACAAGAGCAGGCACCACCCAAAACCCCTCCAGCCTGAGCCACAGGCCCACCTTGCTGTGTGTGTGGCACTCAAATGACAGCGGGGACACCCAGACCTCTGCCGTCCTCCTGCCTGGCAGAGGGGGAGAGGGTGTTTTCCCTAACCCAGACAGGACAGGGTGGAGGCTTTTGAGGGATGTGCAGTGACTTCTGCCCGTTCTCAGCCTGCCCTACCCAGGCAGTGAGTCCACAGCAGGCGAGGGGACATCTGGGGACAAGCTGGGGGTGTCTGCGCGCGCGGGCTCTGCGTGGTGGGACCTCGTTCACACCTCGGCGCTGTCCTTCATCCCCATCCCACTCCACGCTCCCAAGAGCCATCCCTAAAGGGCCACGTTGAATTCTGTGACCAAGAAGTCAATGTAGTCCTTGTCCTTCAGCTTGAAGGCCTCAGCGATGATGCGGGCGGCCTCCCGGTGCTCTTTGCCTCGCAGTCCTGTGCCGTTCACCTCCAGAATGACGTGGCCCACCTTCAGCTTCCCACAGTTGTGTGCCGACCCCCCGCGCTGCAGGAGAGAGGTGGTCAGCTCACCTCCCCGCCATCCCCCCCCTTGGGTCAACCCAGGTGGTTTTTTTTGGGGGGGGAAAAAAAAAAAAGATATATATTTTGTATCCCTCATGTTCACCCTGAACCGGCGAATGAACGTGTTGGATATGAGATATTTGGCTTTTTGGAGAGAGGGGATGAATTTGGCTCCCCTCCTGATTGCTCCTGGAGCGTGGCGCCAGCTGGGGTGGCCAAGAATAACCGAGGCACAGTCAGCTCTGATTCTCTTTTGCTGTAAATAACTTGAATTTTGCCCCAAGTAAACAGCAAACAGGGAGACAGCTCTGGAGGGCTCAGTCGTCTGGCTCTCATCCACCACTCCCCCTCCCCAATCCTCTGTCTGGGAGTTTCCAGACATCTGGAGACAACAGCCAAGCTTTCAGGGCTGCCCTGACTCCCTCTGAAATGTCTGCAGCAAATCCCTGGCTCCCAGGATGTCTGTTATGGTGTGGGATCATCCACGGGACACGGACGCAAACCCCCCAGCAGGATGATGCCTGGGGATGTGCAGGGCTGTAGGAGGGGGAAGCACCTCCAAAATCCACCACCCCCGCGCTCTGGCTGTGGCTCAAAGGCCTTCCCAGCCTGTCCAGGGAGAGAGATGGGATGTTCCTGGAGTTATTCCCGTTCCCAGCCCGCCCTACCTGGATGGTGACGATGCGGGGCAGCGGCTGCCGCGTGTTCGCTCCGCCCTCGATGGCGATGCCCAAGGTGGGAGCGCTCTTGGACACCCGGATCAGACACGACGTGGGCTCCAGGAGCCCTGGCTGTGGGGAGAGAGGGCACTGCTGGGGGAGGCTGGACACTGTGTGCCCGTTGTGCTCCCGTGGCCAGGGCCCCACAGCAGGCAGGGGCACTGGAGAGGGACAGGCACATCCTGCATTTGCTCCCTGACTCCTGACAGCCAAGATCCCAGCCACGGGCAGGGCTGCAAGAACTTGAGGAAGAGCAGAACAGCTCTCTGCCTGCCTGCCTATGCCCCTCGCCTTGCCACCATCAGAAACCCTCCAGTTTACGTCTGATGTCTGCTGCCACCTTCCCTTCCAGGCTACAGGTGACTTCACTGCGCCCTGGGGATGTTCCCTCAGAGCCAGGGACTCTGCCGTGCCCCCTGTAGCTGCTTGCTGGAGCTGGGAGGGACTGGATTTACCCAGCATGGAGTGAGTCAGCCCTACAGAGCCCCTTTCAACCACTCCTGACCCCTTTCCCCACGGCTCAGCCCACCAGAGAGCTCACTCAGCTCATCACAGAGGGTGAACAACCCCTCGATGCACAGAAGAGCAGTTGTTGCCTGGTGGGGAGGAGGGAGCAGCACTGGCCGGGCGAGGCAGTGGGGGGACAGCCCCAGGTGCCCCCTCCCACAATCAGCATCCCCCTCCCCGGGCCCTCACCGGCTTGGAGGCCCCTTCTGCCGCCCCCTCGCTCCTCGCGGCCTCCTTGAGGCTCCGGCTTTTCCCAGGGCCCGGCTGCCGGCTCTTGTCCTTGCCGCTGCTCTCGAGCTCCCCGATGTCCACCCCGCTGTCCTCGCTGAGGGTCTGCCCGCTGTCCGACAGCTGGGAGAGCGTGGAGGCTGGGGAGACACGCGGGTTAGAGGGCGGGCAGCACAGCCCTGGGGCTGGCCGGGCACGCAGGGGGCGAGGGCAGCTCCCAGGGCAGCTCCCAGGGCCGGGCAGGTGCCCCGGGATTGACACCTGGGCTTCAGAGCCAGGCTCCCAAGCTTCCGAATCACGCAATTGCTCAGCTGTCCCAGTGCCTGACCACCCTTTCACTGACAAAACTTTCCAGATTTCATTTGGAAATATCCAACCTGAAGCCCCACAGCTTGAGGGGATTTCGTCTTGTCCTGTCACCTGTGACAAGAGCCTGACCCCCACCTGGCTCCACCCTCCTGGCACAAGGACAGAGCCGTGTACTCATCAGGGGACAAGTGGCCTCATACTCAGGTCCAGGATCCAACTCAGATCCCAAACCGGGATGGAGGGAGAGAGTGATGAGTCCCGGGATCCTGCCAGAGGCCGTTTATCCAGACCATGCTCCAGGGGAGGAGACTGGAACGGACCCGAGCAAAGACGCGCTACCATAAAAGAGCTTTCTCGTCTTCCAGAATAAAGACACCAAGTGCAGATGGAGGCTCTGGGAATGCCAGGAACAGCAGGGAGCGCTGGGTGCCCGGGACAGAGGCTCTGGCACTCGCAGGAGTTGGGGTCCCTCTGCGGACACCCCCCGGGCAGGACCTGACCCCGGCCGCCCCTCGCCCTCATTAACCCGCCGTTAATGAGCCCATTGCAGTGACGGGACGGGGCCACACGAGGGCGACATTGCCACTCGTGTCAGTCCCACAGGGCGAGGGGGGCCGGGGATACCCCCGGGATTCCCCGTCCTTCTTCATCTGCGAGGGATACCCCGGGACCCCCTTCCCTCTCCATCTCCGAGGGACATCTGCCCCGTACCCATTTGCCTCTCCATCTCCAAGAGAATCCCCTGGGTCCCCCTTTCCCTCTCCATCTCCAAGGGACCCAGGGCACTGTAAGGGGCTCTCAGCTCTCCGTGGAGCCTTCTCTTCTCCAGGTGAACCCCTCAGCTCTCCCAGCCTGGCTCCAGAGCAGAGGGGCTCCATCTCAGGGGCAGATCTGCCTCCTGCCCCGTTCCTCCCTCGAGGAGCAGGTGCCACCCACCTCTGGCCTGGGGCAGGGGCCTCACTTCGTTGACGTCGGGCTCGCTGTTGGGCTGGTGCACCTCCACCATGATGAAGTGCTGGTTGGCCACGGCCTGGGGGCTGCCCTTGTCCGGGGGAGGGGGCGCTGGGTGGGTGGGAGGAGGAGGAGGGGATGGGGATGGGGGCTCCGGACCCCCCCAGCCTCCGGGGACGGGCTCTTCAACCTGGTGGGGGACTGGACCCTGGGGAAGGGCCCGATGGGGTGCTGGGTGACCAGGGAGAGCTGGGCATCCATCTGCCTGCGGGAGCCGTGCAGGGATGGGGAGATGGTGGCGTAGATGGCGCTGGGGGAGGAGTCCTCGGTGGAGGTGGTGGCGGTGGAGGTCACGCTGACCGTGTCCTTCTCGGGGGCGCTGGGAGGGGGCGAGGGGTTCCGGGGGGCCACGAAGAAAAGGCCTGACTGGGAGGACTCAGAGGAGGGACGCTTGGGCTTGTCCTTCCCCGGGTTCCTGTGCTGGGCAGCTGAGGGGTCCAGCAACTGAGGGGCTGCGGGAGGAGGAGGAGGCTTGAAGTTGGGTGGTTCCTCTGGGAAGGAGGAGATGTCGTCCTGCCAAACCAAGAACAGGAGGTTTTAGGGCACCGTGCTCAGCTGTGAGAACTTCTCCAGGACCTCCTCAGGCTCAGTGTCACCTGTGTCTTTACCTTTTCACAGTGAGCATGGCTGGTTTGTTACAGAAACACCTTTCTGACCTTCTGACAATACGAATATGACTCACAAGTGAGGACGATTAGAGGACAAATCACCCAGTCTCTGCTTTGGCTCCCACAGCACTGCTCCTGCTCAGCCAGCCAGAATCCTTCTCCTAACCAACTGGATTAACTGGCTTCTCTGACATCCCTGGGGTGTTGATACAGCAGAGCTACTGAAGCTGAGGCAAAACTCAGTACCCCCAGTCTTCCTCCAGCTCCCACCCAAGGCACAGCAGCTCCTGCAGGGCCTTACCAGGGACACGTCTGGCAGGGTGTTGATGCTGCTTTGGTGGCAGTCCCCAGCTCCCTCCAGTTCTGACGTGTTCTGAGAGGGCAAAGAAAGCAGAGGAAACCATGTCAGAGCAGTAAGAGCAAACACCACAGTGCCAGTGTGACAGGGAACACGGAATGATCCCCCAAAAGCTCCCCCCACGCAAGGCCTGAATCACCCAAAGTT